TGGGGGTCTCACTGAACTCACCCAACCATCCATCTCCAGCAGGTGACTTCAGCATTCATCATTAAAGAGAAAATTTGCTGTAGTTTTTTTTTTTTTTTTTTCTTCTTTTGTAGATACCTTCATCAGGGGAGTAAGCTATTTCCTTGTAGTCCTTATTTATTTTGATTTTAAAAACACAAGCTGGGCTTGGTGGTATATACCTGTAATCCAGGGACTCTGAGGCCAGGGACTGCCTTTTTCCACACCTACACACAAGTCACCAGGAATGGGTCCTGTAAGGGAGCCTTCTTCATCTGAGTGCTTTTCAGTTAACGGCTGTTTCTCTAGGAACTTGCCCCTGTAGTTTAGATTTTCAAGGGGCTGTAATAAAATTATTCATAATCTTCCTGTATCTCTTTCCTTTCCTTTCCCAAAACTCTGCAGGCCCTTCTCTTTTCAACCCTGGTGTTAGCTAATTGCATCTTCTCTCTTTTTTCTTGATTATCTTTGCCAGATGGTTAGTCTCTTCTAAAAGGAAGAATCCCAGAACTTGGTTGGCAGAGGCTGGCCCATCTTCGAGTTAGAGGCCAGCCTGGTCTACAGAGTGAGTTCTGGGACAGTCAGGGCTATGAAAAGAAACCCCGTGTTTTGCTTGCCTGTATGTCTGGGTATCACATACACACTTAGTGCCTTCGAGGGCTCTGGGATTGAAGGTACCAACAGTTATGAGCTGTCATGTAGTTGGTGGAAATTGAACCCCAGTCTTCTGCTCTGGAAGAGCAGTCAGAATGCTCTTAACTGCTGAGTCATATCTCCAGCTCATACCCTGGAATTTTATTTTATTTTATTTTTATTTTTAAAGACAGGGTTTCTCTGTAGCTTTAAAGCCAGGTTGGCCTTGAACTCACAGAGATCTTCCAGTCTCTACCTCCCAAGTGCTGGGATTAAAGACCTGTTCCATCACCACCAAGCCTACCCTGGAATTCTTAATCCTCCTGCCTCTGCCTCCTCATTGCTGGGGTCACAGGTTACTTGAACACCATTGAGTGCCTGGCTTCTCAGGATTTAAAAACTTTTCATTCTCAATCAGTTAAGATATTTTTATCATTTTATTATGATTTTTTTGATCCATTAGTTATTTAGAAACATGTTTGTTAATCTCAAAATATTTGGGGCTTTTCATGTTATCTTTATATGAAGGTTTTGAATTTAACTTATTGTATGTGTGCCCCATGTATTACATATGTTTAAGTGTGTGTACCAGCACGTGTGTGGAGGTCAGAGGACAACTTTGTGAAGCCAATTCTACTTCTCCATGGGTTCTAGAGATGGAACTCAGTTCGCTTTTTTTTTTTTTTTTAAGTTTTAAAAATGTTATGTGCATTGGCGTTTGTCTATGTGAGGGTTTCAGGTCCCCTGGCACTGGAGTTGTGAACTGCTATGTAGGTGCTGGGAATTGAACCCAGGTCCTCTGGAAGAAAAGTCAGTGCTCTTAACTTATGAGCCATCTCTCAGCCCTTTTTGCTTTTTTTTAATGATAATATTTTTTAATTTAAATTTGAAACAAGGTTGTTTTACATGTCATTTCCAGTTCCCTCCCCCTCTTCTCCCCTGTCCTCCCCCAACCCCCATCCCATCCACTTTCTGCTCCCCAGGGAGTGTGAGGCCTTCCTTGGGGGATCTTCAAAGTCCATATTATTTGGAGCAGGGCCTAGGCCCTCTCCCATGTGTCTACGCTGAGAGAGTATCCCTCTTATGTGAAATGGGCTCCCAAAGACCATTCGTGTACTAGGGATAAATACTGATCCACTACAGAGTGCCCAGTCCTCCTAACTGACACCCACATTCAGAGCATCTGGGTCAGTCCTATGCTGGTTTCCCAGCTATCAGACTGGGGTCCATGAGCTCCCCCTTGTTCAGGTCAGCTGTTTCTGTGGGTTTCTCCATCCTGGTCTTGACTCCTTTGCTCCTCATTCCTACCTCTCTGCAACTGGATTCCAGGAGTTCTGCTCAGTGTTTAGCTGTGGGTGTCTGATTCTGCTTCCATCAGCTACTAGATGAAGGCTCTAGGATGGCATATAAGGTAGTTATTAATCCCATCATAGGGGAAGGGCATTAAAGGTAGCCTCTGCACTATTGCTCAGATTGTTAGTTGGGGTCATCCTTGTAGATCTTTGGACATTTCCCATTTCCCTAGTGCCAGATTTCTCTTTAAACCTATAATGGCTCCCTCTATTACGGTATCTCTTTTCTTGCTCTCCTCTTTTCTTCCCTGACTCAGTCTTTCTGTTCCCTCATGTCCTCCTCTCCCCTTCTCTTTCTCCTGACCCCCTCTCCCCTCCTCTCATGCTCCCAATTTGTTCTGGAGATCTTGATCTTGTCCCTTTCCCCTTCTTTGGGGGACCATGCATGTCTCTCTTAGGGTCCTCCTTGTTTGCTAGCTTTTCTGGCAGTGTGGATTGTAATCCTTTGCTCTATGTTTAAAATCCATATATGGGTGAGTACATACCATGTTTGTCTTTATGTGATTGGATTACCTCACTCAGGATTTTTTTTTTCTTGTTCCATCCACTTTTTTGCTTTTTTAAATCTTCACCTTATTATATGTATTGAAATTTTCTTGAGGGAAGCTGTTTTGGTAAATGTTCCTTCTGTATTAAAAAGAATCTGCTGCTTGGTGCTGACACTGTGTTCTAGAATCATAAGTCAAAAGTGTAGGAGTCATGTTCAGGTCTCCTTCCTGTACCTGTACTAAACATTTCCCACTGGCCCACTGAGGGGAGGGCGGCAACCCTCCCAGTCTAATTTGTGGACTCTTCTGGTTTTTGGAAGTGTCTTCCTTCTGGTTTTTGCTCTTTCAACTGTGGAGTTTTGCATACCAATTTGAAACCCTTCTCTGGTGAAGTGGACCCTTGAGTGTGAAGGGGCTTCCTTTGTCTTTGTGATGCATTTCCCTTCATAATTAAACAGTTGTGCCAACCTTTTCCCTTAGCATTTGCCTGCTGCCTGCCCTCTGTCCATTTACTATCCTTGCTTCCAAACACCCCCTTGTAGTTATTTGGTGTAAATTGCCTCTGCTGGTATTGCATGCAGCCTGTCTTTTTTAAAACTAGCCACAGCATTAGTCCTCTAAGTCACTAGTTTATGGAGTCAAAGGATACTTGAAGTTCCATCCTCTTCATCTTTCTCTCTTCTTGCTTGGTTGCTCTTCTCCTCCTCCTCTTCCTCCTCCTCCTTTTCCCTCTACTCTTGTGCACAGGGATATGTAAAGATCTTAGCACACTTGAATTCCAGTCGCCCTAGTTACCCGCGGATCTTGTTAATTTTCCGTCTGTTTTTCTCTGGAAAACGCGGTTTCTGCTTTTGTACCACCAGTGTTTTCCATTGCCTCTTCCTCATTGAATCAGACCTTTTCCCGGTCTCTCCCCCCCCCTCTTCCCTCCCCCACCCCCCAGTTCCTCGTTTGGAATTCCCCTTGGGGATGGTCAAATTCCTACTGTATGTCTTCGCAAATGTCTTTATTGTACCTTTGTTCTTAGCAGATATTTCCACGGAATATACAGTTGTCGATGATGCTAATTTTCTCTCGTGACAGGGACTTGACGTCCTTTGCCTTCTGGCTTCCTTTGAGCTTGGTTAAAACTCAGGTACCATCTAGCATCCCCCCTCCTTTTTTTTTCTTCGCTGGACATAGGTGTTTAGAGTTTATTTTAAGAATAGGGAACTACGGGATGTTTCTAAGCACTGGGTGACTTGGTTGGGTCTGGTTGTAGAAAGCTCACTGGGTCACCCGGGTGGAGGAGGGGGAGAGGAGGTTGTTAAGAATCCGGTTTGTGGGGGTGGTGATGTGGAGGGGCGGCCCCGAGTCACCTCCTGGAGGAGGGGAGACTCCGACCCGACCTCCATTGTAGGGAAAGGCTTAGGGCCGATTCCGGGATTAAGTGTTCGTTCGGTCCACATTTAGTTGCGGCAAAAGTGCAGAAAACCAAGGTAGTGGAGGGAAACCACTGGAATCTACTCTGTTTGCTGCCAGCAAAAAAGGGTCTCCACCTGAGATGAATTGTTACTGCCTAGCTTGGGCCCTCCGGATAACGCGCTCACGTGTGTGACCCAAGCTTTTTGCACCAGCTACAGGTGGTCAGGGTGTGATGGGTAGAGGCTTGGAGGGATGGGCGCAGAGGCACCATTCAGGCCTGCCTATACTACGCGCTCCGGGTGGGAAAGCTTTGCTATCCGTCCCTCCTGCAGTGCCACGGTCCCCGCCCCGCCAGGTCTCTTTTGTGCGAAGGGAAGCAAATGACGGTTTTCCATCTGCATAACACGGCCCCCACACTTTTTTTTTTTTTTGAGACAGGCTCTCTCTAAGCAGCCCTGGCTGGCTTCGAGCACACAGATCCGCCTGGCTCTGCCTCCCCAGTGCTTGGGGGGCTACCTTCAGCCTTAAGATTCTTTAATGGATTATGTGTATGAATGATGGCCTGCTTGCCCACGTACGTGCGACGTAGATCAGAGGATAGCACTGAATTCCCTGGAACTTTGGTTGTGAACCATAATGTGGATGTTGGGAACCGAACCAGGTCCTCTGAAAGAGCAGCAGTTTCTCCTAAACACAACGCCATCTCTCCAGCCCTTGTTTTAATTTATTTATTTGAGACAGGGTCTTATGTAGTTCAGGCTGGCCATGAACTCCTGATTCTCCTGCCTCAGATGCCCAAGTGTTGAGATTACTAGGCCTGCTACTCTCGGTTTCATGGCCACACTTTTTCGGACCTTCCGAGTCACTGGGAGGATTTGGGGGAAATAATCACGTCCAGCTCAGAGGCCGAATAGAGAAATGAACTGTACCGCAGATCGTTGCGCTCAAATCCCAAGCTCCAAAATAGTCGGGAACATCAGATGTGCTGCCAGCCTCCCAACTTGGCGAGCAGGCGGGGTTGGGAGGGGGCGTGGCCCAGACCGTGAGGGGCGTGGTCCCGGTAGGGAGGGGCGGGGCTGACCCTCTGGGCGCTCTCAGAGTCCCGCCCGCGCGCGCGCGCCCGTCCGCTGGCGCTGAGGAAAACGTTGCGCAGGTTCAAAAATGGAACGTCGGCGGCGTGAGGGAGCGCTAGGGGGTGTGCGCGCGTGCGCGTGCGCGCCTGGCAGAGCCTGACGGGGTCCCCGCCGGCCCGAGCATCGCGCGCAGCGGCCGCGGCCCCGCAGCTCCACCCCCGACCCGGCCCGGCCCCCGGCCCATCGCCCGCCGCCCCGCATGGAGCTGTCAGCCATAGGCGAGCAGGTGTTTGCGGTGGAGAGCATCCGGAAGAAGCGCGTGCGGAAGGTGAGGCTGCTCGGGGGCGGCTCCCGCGACGCGGCGAGGTCGCCTCCTGCTCCCCAGCACCGCCCCCTCCAGGTCGGGCAGATCGGAAAGTGGTGCGGGGGTGGGGGTGGGGGACACCGGGGGACACCTGGGGACCCTGCGCTGCTTGGCCCGCCTCAAAGTTCGTTCCTTACTTTCCCCGCCACCAGGTAGGACCAGTAGAGTTAAAGTTGTTGCCCTGAGATGCTGGTGCATCTGAGGCCATCTGGGATGGAGATGAGGACGGGACTAGAGCTTCTGAGCTCCATTCCGCCTCGTTCCCTTTACGCTCACTTTCGAGGAGTCTAAGGCTCAAGTTGAGGAAGCAACTTGGAAGTGCGTTAGAGCCGAAGTGAGTTTCGAACTCGGCCCTCTGGTGTTTTAGTACCAAGCCCTTTGAAGTTGGCAGCAGAGCTTTGGAAGAGTCTTCTCTGGGTTTTCCTGTTGGACTTTGACCTTCCCGATCCCAGTCGTCTCCCTCCCCCCCCTCCGCACACCTTTCTTCTCCTCCCCCAATCCTCCCCTCCCCCACCTGCCACCCGTGTGCCGCTCCTCCGAAGCCTGGGCCACTGTTGTTGGGGCATCCTCGAAGCCCCGCCCCCTCTGCCAAGGCCTTCCACTCAAACCCTGAGATTTGAGGAGGCGGTTCTGCGGCGCTCAGGACCACACACCTCAGCCTGGAGTTTCCGGTCCAGACCTCAAGTGCATGCTCTTTGTGCACGTGCTTGCTAAGAGTGTACTTGGATCTGGGCATTTGCATGGAGGAAAGTGCTTCTGGATCTATAGAAGGGCCTCTTCCCTTTCCCCTTTCTCCCTGCAACTCCTTGAGAAGCTCTTGGGAGCCAGGTTCTCCCATTTGACTCAAGTGCAGGCACCTGCTGTGGGATACTCAGCAGGCGGGTTTGGGTGGGCTCGGAGTGGGTGACTTGGGTGACTATGACTGTCTATTGGTTAGAGCTGCCTCCTGTCCCTGCCTTGCCAGGGTACTAGACTGAAGTGGGTATAGCCATCATCTCCGACAGGGTACAGGGGTAGGTCAAAGAGGGAACACTTAATTAGCTCAGCTCAGCACTACAAACCTGTATGGAAGCTGCTGTGTTATAGGTACCACTCTGAGCCCAAAGCTCTCTTTTCTTTTCTCGGTTGGTATTCTGGCAAAGGACACAGGTGCAGCAGGAGAAAGGAGGAAGTAAACACAGATGCCTTTGTCGGACTTAAGTGCTCTTCATAAAGAACTGTCCACTGTGTGGTGCTAGGAAGGAGAACTTGGATGTGCTTCAGCGAGTACATGGGCCTTGGCTGGACACTTAAAGGCTCCCCCGTGGGGGAGGGCTGGCCACCTTTCATTAGGGTCCTCTGGGCAGCCTCCCAGAGAAGAAAGTTAGGGTCTCCAGTAGCGCTTTTGAAAACTGGTCTTGGCTTGGGACTTCAGCCACTGTGCATGGCTATGTATACATGCTTCCATGTGGTCTCAGGTTTCCTCTGTGACATGAGTTCCTATCTTGGATTCCATGGATGTCTGGGACCACATGCACCTACCATGCTGCATCAGGGCGAGGGCTATGGGATGGTCATGTAGTAGTGAGTGTCGGGGAGTTGTCTCTGGGTTGAGAGGGTCTGGTACAGAGCCTTGCCATTCATGGGTTGGTACTACTGTACTGTTGCAGAGGGTCCTTTGGTCTTTGTTGTCCTGCAGGTGGTTGTAAGGGGGTGTGTATCTTACTGTCTTTTTCTTTTCACAGGGCAAAGTGGAATATCTGGTGAAGTGGAAAGGATGGCCCCCCAAGTAAGGCTCCTGTGTGTGCTCCCTGCCTATCATCTCTTCCCCACATTGACTTTAGCTCCTGGCACTTTTATGACTGAATGGCAAACCCTGACTAAATCACCAGCTTTTCAAGGCCCCAGGTCCCCTCTGCTAGGGGGTTTCCTGCTTGTCTCCTCATCCTGCCCCCTTTTTCTGGCCATGGGAATTAAGGCCCAGCACCTTGGCTTCCTCAATGGCTGATGGCCAAGTGAGGGGGTCCCCATGTGGAACAGGTACAGTGAGTGCTAGGTGAGATGGGAACATTAGACAGTGGATTCCCAGTAGTCAGTGCAGTAGCATAGGAAGGGGTTAAACCTGGCCATCTTGCATTTGGATGGTACTCTCTTGTCTACAGAGTAAGCGTACAGGCATTCTTTTTAAGGGGGTGTGATTATGAGCTCTTCAGGTGAAAATTGGAGTCAGAGGCAGAAGCAGCTTGCCTCAAGTTACACTGCAAGGGGAGGTAGAGCTGGAACTTGGACTAAGCTTAGCCATTTATTCAGGCCTCTCCTATGAGCTAGGTATGATACCTAGTACAGCTAGTGGACCTCTGCTGGTAAAGCCTGACGAGGAACCTTCTCACTAACCAGTCACCTCCCAGCAAAGAGCTGTTGGGGTTGGGAACAGGCTAGATATAGGACCTGTCTATTGGTTTGTGGATGCTCTGCCCTGCCTCTTAGAGACTGGCTTCTGGAAACTCCCTCTGCTTTCCTGATGGCTCTGACAGCCCTGGAACTTTCTTCTCCTCTTGTGTGTATGGGGGGGGGGGGGTTGGAGGGAGAGGGCTGACCTGTGATTGTGACATGTGGTATCATGGAGGGATGGTGGGAAGAGGGGAAGTCAGTCCCAAGCACCTCGACTTCCTCCTCTACAGAGTGGGTTCAGTGGCCTGGGACTTCACTTCTCTTACAGGCTGCTTAACCTGGCAAGGTGAAAGCCTAGACGTTGGTTCAGAGTGGACCACAGGTATCCAGGTGTGGTATGCTGATGACCCCTTCCTCCATTCTACCCCATCTTCTTTTCCCAAGTGGCCTTCCACTGGTCACTAGTGGTCATCTGGATTGGGCAAAGGGGCAAAGGGAGTGAGCCTGAATAGGGCTCAGTTTGCTGTGCACACACAGCTAGCTGCAGCTGACCACATCGAGAACTTCCTTGAGGAGAAGGGGAATGAGGGTCTTGATAACTCTTCTGTTTCTTTCTGAAGCCATTTGACTAGATCACCTGAGGGTGATGCCTTCTGCTTTCTTTGCTTCTAGATTTCAGGCCTGGCTTCCCAGTGGGCACCTAGGAGCCCTTGGGCAACTCCTTAGCCTGCTGATCTAACCATGAACCCTGAAAGCCTCTCCTAAAACAGTGTTCTGAGTTGAACTACTCGTACAGGGTCAGCTGAGTGGGCCTTCAGCTGTTTTCCTGTTGGAAAGATTCCATTCCAAATAGGAGTTTCCTTAGAATAATATGGTCTTTTCAGATGGAGAAACTGAGGCTCATAGGAGGTCATTACAGGAACATAACAGCTAACCCCCACCTCACAACATCCATTTTGTACAATGCCTGCCACCTGTGTTGGCCAGGTCCAGCTGGTTTTCAGGGAACTGACTTGGAGCAGAGGAGAGTGGGTGTGTCAGACCTGGGGGTCTGGCCAGGGTGAGGGTCTCCCATTTTGTAGCTACCCTCCTCAGAGCAACAGGAAGGTACCTTTGCTAGGCCACTGCAGAGCCATTTTGTTCCTGCCCATTTTCTCCCCAGCAAAAGACAAACAACAGCCTCCACTTCCCGTGAATGTGATAGAGGGGAACTCTTAGAACTCCTGGGGCATCAGGCAGAAGGTATTGCTGCAGATGCTGTTTGCCTTAGAGACCCCTGGGTATTCCATTTTTGCCTCTGCCTGCCCAGCACCCTACTACTCCCTATCTCCATATTTTCTCCGCATGCATAATAGTCCCCATCTTTTCAGAAAGACCAAGCTGCCAGTGTGAGAGCCCCAGTATGAGCCAGGCATACTTTACAGATGGAGCGTCCTTATTTGAGATTCTGATCTACCTCTGGTATACATGCCAATGACACTATAGGGGCCCTCGTGTGTCTTGTTAGATTTTCTAGTGTCAGACTATCATGTCTCTTTATGAACTTTGGTTATGATCAACGAGCAGTGATGCAAGGCAAAACTCTTTAACTTGGCTGTGTCTCCATTAAATGAAGCCCGCTAGGAGTCACTAATGCACCCTGACAGCCAGGTACAGAACAGAGCGACTCCCTCTCTAGGCCCAGAAGCCTGGCTTAGTCCTGGCAACCATGCCTGCAACTCTTAGGCTTCTGAAGCTGGTTTAATGAACACTTCTTGGATTTTATTATGCGCCACACTCAAGTATGTGGGTCATGTGGCTTAACACGTTGAATCTTCTCCACAACTAAAAGCTAAGGGATTGCGGGGAGACCTGCTTTAGAATGAGGTTCAGCAGTTGGGGCGGTTGAAACTAGAGTCATGGAGCTGGAGCTGCCGCTTGCCCGGCTCCGCGTGGCTCCAGCTCGCTGGGTTTCTGCATACAGCTAGCAGTCACCTCCCCCACCCTGGCAAGGCAGGCCAGGGCCAGGAGACCTGTCTTGCTTGGGGTGCTGTGCCCCACCCCAATGGTCTGACCCCAGCTCTGGGAGCGGTGACGGAGCTTGTTTAACGGGAGGGGGGGCGGGATCACGATCACGTGATCGTGTTTATCTCCAGCAGAGGCTATGCCCCGCCCAGATAGGTTTTCAGTGATCTGTGTTCCCACCCTCACCCTGCGGGAGCTCTCTCTAACTGCTCCAGATCCTTACCGCGGCACTTTTTTAGCCAGTTATGGACCCTGCTGCTTCTCTTTGCCTGGGGGTGGGGTTAGCGTTCCTCCCACCTCCATCCCTCCTGCTGTTACCTTTTCCTGCCTTGGGAATTGGTTCTAGGACTCTGGCCGCCTTTTTCTGTGATTTCACAGCTTGTAGATCTAAAAGGGCCTAGATATAGGCAGTAATCTTGCCCAGGGATGCTCCAGCTTATGGGGAGTGCAACGAGATGACCTTGGCAAGTTGCTCAAACTTTGCCTCTGCTTTTAAATCTGTAAACTGGAGTGATTATTTAGGAATCTGCTTTGGTGAAGTATTATAGGGCATTCCTCAAAGTACCCTTGGTGCACTTGTGACAGACAGTGGGGGCAGTTGTTCTTTAGACGAGGTACAGAGAAGGGTAGGGACTTACCAGGAATCATATAGTAGCTGCAGCAGTAAGGAATGGGCCTGAAAGTGGGCAGGGCAGGCCAGAGAGGGCTTAGTAGGCAAGGAGCGTACAGTGGGCAGACTGGGTCTCCTTGTATTGGTAGGAGGCATGACTTGTACCTGCACTGGTCAGGGTCAGCTCAGCAGCTTTCTTAGAACACCTGGGGCTGACTTGAGTCAGTTGCGTTGGTCCAGTTGGGCCAGGAAGCCACAAGAACCTGGTTCCTAAGGATGATTAAAAGATAGCTGCTAGACAGGGAGAAGAGTTTGCGTGCTGGGGATGGTTGATGCTCATTGCTGAACCCCTAGGGGCAGCCCAAGATCCCACCTGTCAACTGAGTAACAAAGGAGGAAGGAAGGAAGAGTTCCGTGCCTTGATGGCCTGCCCCTCTCTCTTCCAGGTCCAGTGTCCCTGGGACTTAAGAGAAAGGTTTTAGCTCTTAGGGGTCTCTGCCTCCTTTCTCCTTGCTGATGTCCCCTCCTACCCAGTTCTGTGCATTCTTCAGGAAGACCTTGCACTAAATCATAGAACATGGCCTTGGTCTGTTTATTTTATTTTGTTATTATTATGTTATTATTATTATATAGCACTGAGCATGGTGGCCGAAAGCCTTTAATCCCGGCATTAGGGAGGCAGAGGCTGGTGGGTCTCTTGGGTTGGAGGCCAGCCTGGTCTACAGAGGGAGTTCCAGGACTCAGAAATCCTGCCTTGCCTTGGGAGTGTGGAATTAAAGGTTTCCAGTTCCCTTTCATCTCCGAACCGTCCCCATGCGTGTATGTTTATAGTCTCTGAGTTTCAAGTATGATTGCTCGCTTATGCATGGATGTGGGGTTAATTACCTGGTCATGGTTGTCTTGCTAGTAGCTGTATCTCTGAAGAAAAATTACTTTCTCAGCAACTATGGACTGCCAATGGTTCCTCAGCTAGGGACATAGTTTGGTGTGCTTCTCTCTCATCTGTAGTGTATTGTTGATAGGCTCCATTTTGTACAAATAGATAGAGCTCCTGTGAGTTCAGGGGTGTGTTAGCTCTGTTGTGTCCATCTTACAGTCCTCCTTGTCTGGCTCTTAACATATTTCTGCCTGTCCTTCTGTGATGTGCCTCAGATTTGGTGAGGGAAGCTATATAGATGTCTATTTAGGGCTGAGCACTCAAACTTTAACTTATTCTTAGCACTTAGACATTTGTGTTTTTTAAGACAGGGTTGCTCTGTAGCAGGCTTTCTTAGACCACCAACCCCCACACCATGACTCAGAAACTTATTAGTTATGAGTGCTTGACCTTTAGCTTAGGTTTGTTGCTAGCTAGCTTTTATAACTTAACCCATTTCTATTAATCTATGTGCTGCCCTGAGACTCCCTCATCTACATACTGTCCATCCTGCTTTTCTGCTTTCTTCATGTCTGTCTTGCTGGCTGGCCCCCTTTTATATCTGCACACCAGCCCCACCTAGTTCTCCTCTGCCTAGCTATTGGCCATTTAGCTCTTTATTAGACCAATCAGGTGCCTTAGGTAGGCAAGGTGAAGCAGCAATACATCTTTACACAGTTAAATAAATATTCTATTCCACATTTCTCTGTGTAATAGCCCTTGTTGTCCTGGAACTCACTCTATAGACCAGACTGTCTTTAAACTCACAGAGATTGACCTGCCTCTGCCTCCTGAATGCTGGGACTAAAGGTATATGCCACCATACCTGGCTGTACTTTTAACTATTTTTGAGTCTGCATTATTCTGCCTACTGAAAAAAAAAAACAGCTTCTCTAACATTGAGAGCAGCACAGATCTGTGTGTATAAACAAATACTTTGAAGGCAGTTTGACAGCATGTCCCTTCAGCAAAACAACAGATAGGTTCCCTCCTAGGAGCTATGATTTCTCTCCCATGGGCTTTCTTCCTTTTTTTTTTTTTTTTTTTTTTTTTTTTTTTTTTTCTGATACGGGGTTTCTCTGTATGGTGTTGCTCTCCTGGAAACTCTGAAGGCTGGGTTGGCCTCGAGCTCACAGAGATTCCACTACCAATGCCCGGCTTCTCCCATGGGATTTTAACCAGGTTTACAGTCCCAGACATAAACTTTGTCAAATCAGAAAGAAGTTGGTTACTTACCATTTATGCCTCTGTTGCATTGTTGGTGGCATCTTGCCTAGTAGGTCAATATTATAGCAAGCAAGGTTCATTGCTAGGTAAGACTATCAGTGATTTTTTTTTTTTTTTTCTCCCCAGCAGCCTACATAGTACCTTTCAGAACTATGAAAACTAACCAATAAGAAGCCCCCAAGTCAGTTTTAGCTTGATTGTCTATGTCCTATAATCAAAATATACAGTGTCTTCAGCATCAGGGTCCTACCACCTAGTTTTGGTGGGCAACCAAGAACAATGACAATAGCCTGTTTTGTTTCGGGCCCTCAGTCCATCTTGTCAAGCATCTTATAGGGAGGCATCTCATGCCTGGTTCTGCCATCTTCATTAAATAACCTGTGCTTTCTGGGAGCAGCACCATCCTCTCATGGAGGATAGCCCCATTCACGATCATGTTTTTCAAAATTCTATATGTGTGTGTGTACTTGTGGGAAGGAACATTCAGGTCTCACTGTGGCAGAGTACAACTTGGTTCTCTTGTCTACCTGGTAGGTAGTAGGGATCAAACTCAATTGTCAAGCTGGCCTTTACCTTACCAACCCTTAATCTCTTTTAAAATATATATGTGTGATTTTGTTGTTAGTAGTAGTAGTAGTTCTGTGTGTATGTGTGGTTATGCGCACATAAGTGCAGGTGCCCAAGAAGACCAGAAGAGGGCATGGACCACCCCCTGGAGCTAGGCAGTACAAGCAGTTGTGAACTGCCTGACCTGGGTGCTGGGAACTGAATTCCGCTTTCTGCAAGAACAGCCCATACTCTTAACAGCTGAGCCATCTCCAACCTCTGTATTTTAAAATGTAGCTTATCCTAGCACTCGGGAGGCAGAGGCAGGTGGGTCTCTGTGAGTTCGAGGCTAGCCAGGTCTACAGAGTGAGTTCCAGGACAGCCAGGACTACTCAGAGAAACCCAGTCTCAAAAACAAAAACCCAAAATTTAGCTTACAGCTGAGTGGGTTTTCCATTGACTTTTCAGACATCTGTAGTTTTGATTAACTCCCCCATCCCTTACTCTCATCCCCACTTAAGCCTTCCACCCCTGGCATTCCGCCCAGCTTTGATGCTTGGGTTCTGCTCTCCCCTTCCTACTTCTTTCCCTCCGTCTCCTGGGACCTTTCTAGTTTCTTGACCTCCACACACTGAATTAAAACAAATTTGAAAATCTGCAGTTAGGGCAGGGTGGTGGTGGCACACACCTTTTAATCCCAGCACTCAGGAGGCAGAAGCTGGTGGATCTCTGTGAGTTCAAGACCACTCTGGTCTACAAAAGTGAGTTCCAGGACAGGCTCCAATAGAGAAATCCTGTCTCGATCAGATTAAAAAAAACCTAGAGAACGTGCAGCTAGGCTCCATCTATGTGAGAGCATGTGGTGATGTCTTTCTGGACCTGGGTAACTTAGTGTATTTTCTACTTCCATCCGTTTTTCTGTGAATTTTATAGTTTAATTTTTCTTTACATCTGAATAAAATTTCATTGCATGTGTGTGCCACATTTCACTATCTCTATCTGTTCGTTGCTTGATGAACATGTGGGCTGGTTCCATTTCCTAACCATGATGAATAGAGCAGAAATGAACACAAGTGAGCAAGTGTTTCTGCAATAGTTTTTTTGAGTGCATGCACAGGAGTGCTATAATTGAGCATGGTTTTTTGTTTTGTTTTGTTTTGTTTTGTTTTTTTGAGACAGGGTCTCATTAATAGTTCTGGCTGGCTTAGAACTCTGTATGTAGAGCAGCACACCCAGGCATCCATCCATTGATTTTTAATTAAGAATTTTATATTTGCTAGGTGGTGGTGGTGTCTACCTTTAATCCCAGCATTCATGAGGCAGAGTCAGGTGGATTTCTGACAAGGCCATTTGGTGTACAGGGCAAGTTCCAGGACTCTGTTTCAGAAAGAGAAAGAAAAATTCTACTTGTATTCCCACTTACTGCTTTAGAAATTTATTTGTATTCTTTTAAGATACTTGTTATCACTAGATATTTACCAGACACCTGTTGTGGGCCAGGCTCAGGAAGAAGGGGCTCTAAGGTCCTTGCTTGATGGCTAGAGCTGGGACTGAGCAACATAAAAACCCTTTCTCTCTGCCAGGTACTACAATGAACAGCATTGAGACCTTTAGTTAGTACTTGAGTTCTTCACAGAGAGGGATAGGGAAGCACGGGGCTACAGAATACGTAGCTCAAGGTTACACAGTCAGCTAGGGTTGGAGCTGGTATTTGAACTCAGATAGGTTGATCCTGGAGCCCCTGCCAGGCTGTGGGATGAGGAACAGAGGCATCCTTAGGCCTCAGGAGGATATTAGATCTAATTGGAGTCTATAGTAGAAGTCTGATAACAGTGTGGCACAAATGAGGGGAGTTGTGATACAGAATAAAAATATCTAAGTAATAAAAGGTATGGGGAGAGAGATTACTCAGTATATAAACTTACTACACAACCATGAAGAACTGAGTTCAAATTCCAGCACCCACAGAAAAAGCCTATGTTACATTAGGGCTCTCACACCTCATAGGCCTGGCCAAAGCTGTGTGAGAAGCTGGTACAAAAGACAGCCTCTGTGACACTGGTGATGGCAGGGTATCTCTGACCTTTTGCTCTTCTCCCCAGGTACAGCACATGGGAGCCAGAGGAACACATCCTGGATCCCCGCCTTGTCATGGCCTACGAGGAGAAGTAAGAGCCCTGCCTATTTGGAGCCTGGCCTGAGGCCAGCTCCAAGATATCTCAGGAAGCCTGCTGGTCCTGGCCCTGGGCAAGAGTCGGTTAGGGGTGTGTAGCAGGGAAAGGTGATAGGCACTTAAAGTCTTGTTCCTGTATGTTGTTGGTGTCTCCCTGTCTGCCAGTTTTTGCTTCCAGTCCAAGGGTTCATTCAGAAGCACTGACAGATAGATGCATCCCATGTGGGAATGCCAGCATCTTACTCCCTGGCAAAAAAGGAAGTCTGATGAGGCCAAGCAAAGCCAGGGATGTGAAGAAGGCTTCCTTCCGGTTTGGCCTCTGACCTCCCATTAGCACCTTGCTGAGAGTCATGATCCCGCCTTCCCATGGGCTTCATGGCTCCCACCTGGACCACGAAGTGTGGCACAACTGTTACCTTTTTTAAGTTGCATTTGTATGTGCATGCCCATACACATGAGTGCCACTGTGCGTGTATGCAGCTTAAAGGGTAACTTGCACTGGTTTTCTCCCACCCTGTGGATCCCAGGGATAAAACTCAGGTTGTCAGACTTAGCAGTGAGCTGTGTACTAGCTGAAAGATCTCAACAGTGTCCCCTACCCCATGCCTTGTTTTTACAGAGTCCAGTTTTTGCCCTGTAGCCCTGACTTACCTGGACTTGGGGTTGACCCACTTTCTTCTTTCTCCTACTTGCTGAACCTTTTTTGGGGGGCAGGGGGAGGACAGGGTTTATCTGTATAGACCTGGCTATCCTGGGATTCACTCTGTAGACCAGACTGGCCGTGAACTCACAGAAATCCACATGCCTCTGCCTCCCATGTGCTGGGATTAAAGGCCTGGCCACTTCATGGTAATCTCTTGACACAGGAAGGAGGGTGTCATTGGAATGGGGAATCTAAACCTCCTGAGCAGTTAGGGAGTTTGCCCCTCATTGCTACACTATTGCTTCTCCCCAAAGGCTTCTGGAAGCCTTTAAAGATTCAAAGGATGTATCTTCATTGTTGTTCTCTTTTTGTTGTTTGTTTTGAAAGACTTCACATTTTATTACTGGACAAACCATTCCTCCAACTTAAACATGACCAAGTCTCCAGGTTAAAATGTTGACCTCCTTTGGTATGATTGATCAGTGACCACAATTCAGTGTCAATTCTCAGTTTTACCATTATCTGACTCCTTACAGACCCAGCCTTAGTCTCCTCCAGTGTCTTCTCTTGGAATCGTACCTGATTTTGTTACCAGTTTCCATCTGAATCCTTTGAGGAATAGGACAGTTATGCTTTTGTTTCTTGGCCAGGAATCACTTGATTCTGAAAGTCTTGAGAAGACATATAGAGAAACCACGGTGTATGATGACAGAGGAAAGGGGAAGAGCCTGTTGTTCTTTTTAATATTTATTTCATTTTATGTGTATGTGTGAATATACCATGTACATGCAGTACCTTGGGAGACCAGAAGAAGGTGTCATATCCCCCTGGTCTGTGAACTGTCATGTGGGTGCTGGGCATTGACTCTTGAGTTTTCTATAAGAGCAGCCAGTGATCTTAACTACTGAGTTATTTCTCCAGCCTTTATCATTGCTTTTAACTTGTTCCTGTCCCACAGTTTCTGTTCTCTCTGCTTCTTGGTGAGATCTTGGTCTAAAACAGTGGTTCTCAACCTGTAGGTTATAACCCCTTTGGGAGTCAACCCTTTTACAGGGTTCACCTAAACCACTGGAAAACACAGATATTTACATTATGATTTATAACAGTAACAAAATTACAGTTATGAAGTAGCAATGGAAATAATTTTATGGTTGTGGATCACATAACATGAGGAACTGTATGTAGGTCAAAGCATTAAGAAGGTTGAGAAGCACTGGTCTAAAGGGTGTGTCACTGAGAGAGTCCTATATACTGTCTTGGCTTTCTGATACAGGATCTCACTATATAGTCCTGACTGGCTTGAGACTCATTATATAGACCTGGCTGGCCTTATATTTATAGTAGTCCTCTTGCCTCTACCTCCCAAGTATTGGAATTATAGACATGTGCCACCATGTTCAGGTGTGTGGACTATCTTAGATTGTGCAAAGAAAGCAGTGGGAGGGGCAGAAGAGATGGCTCAGAGTTGTTAAGAGCTCTGCTCTTCCAGAGGACACAGGTTCAATTCCCAGCACCCACATGGTAGCTCACAACTGTCTGTAATTCTGGTTTCAGGGGATCTGACACCTTCATACCAATGCAAATAAAGTTAAATAAATTATTTTTTAAAAAAAGAAAGAAAAGAAAGCAGTGGGAAGGGTCAAGGCCAAGTGTCCATTCCCAATCAGGAGATAATTGCCTGTCAGGGGTGTGGCAGCTGCCACCAGGAAGACCAGTTTAAGACATTTGGGGAAGACTGGTTTATGGATAGCCCAGAGGAGAGGCGGCCTAAGGTCTCCCAGCCTTAATGAAGAATGAGTGCGTTCCGCTACACTTTCTTTCTATTGTGTACAAGGTCTTCGTGGTGGGACTACAAGGGATGAGTGGAGTGAACCAAGACACTGCCATGTGGAATCTTGAGTTGTGTCATATGGGTTGAGGGTGGCTTTGTAAGGAGAGCACCTTGCAGGACACTCTATCCCCTCTCCTACTCAGTTAGGTGAGGTGGGACCCCTCTGCATATCCCAGTAGGTCCCAAATGGATTGGCTGGGTCAAACTCCCCTTGCCAAGAAACTTGCTATAGTCCTTAGTGTCCCAAGATACCCAAAGCTAAGTGAGAGTAGATGGTAGAGCTCCATTTTTACAGGGTCCCCTGTACCATGGGCTGTGTGGCCCTGGAATGGAGCAGGGGCCTATATGTTTTCAGAGTAAAGGCTGAGCCCTGGAAGTTGAATGTTACCCCAATGGGGGGTGTGGGGTGGCCTGTGTCCCCAACCCAGACCCATGGGAGATGATGCTTCCCCTTAGATGTCACCAGTGTTTCTTTGTCTAATGCCACCTTCTTCACACTCCCAGGGAGGAGAGAGACCGAACATCGGGGTATAGGAAGAGAGGTCCAAAACCCAAGCGGCTTCTGCTGCAGGTAACCACTGTCTCTGAGCCTCCCCGTTCCTCCTACCCTGCCCGACACTGCCTGCCCCCACCTGCATGTGCACTGGCCCTGGAGCCCATTTACTCACCCTACCCAGCACCACCCAGGGTACTGTGGAAAGATTCAGTGTACATTTCAGTAGAAGGGGTTGTGTAAAAGCCACGTGTAGAGCTGGAGCCAGGGAAGTCAGCCTGCGCTGGGGTAGACAGGTAGCTAGTCTTTGAGAACTTCAAATGTTGTAAAACACAAAATAACTGAGGATCTTAAGTGTTGAGGAAAAAAGCATGGTAGGCTAGGGTTGCCACCTTAAAGAACTGGACACTCTTAGCATTCTGAATATGACCTTGGAACAGCAGACTCAGAACTGTGTCTGTGTCAGGAGAAGACCATGAAGCCTGTGTTGTCCTGCCTTAGAGGTTTCTGCTCACTCTCGGGATGCCTTAAATCTGGGTATAGAAGCCAAAAGAGTATGAAGCCACGCTGTTCAGTGATTCTGGGCAGGTCATCTATAAGGGGATGGGTGAAAGTGTGTTGTTCTTGATTTCATAAGGCCCATCTGGGCATGTGGTTCGTGTGCGTTTAACCACTCTTGGTGCTGGATTATCTCAGGTTCTCTTTGATGGACAGGATGCCTTGCCTTTAGGTGGGGATGACCCAAGGGATTTGTCATAAACTGGCCCTAGGAAGGAAAGTGATCTTTGCTAGACAAGCACCCAGCACACATCACAAGTGGACATATCCCCTCTCTACAGCAAAACAAGGTAGTTGTATCAGACATTCACTGCTGTGTGACAAACTACCCCAACACAGCAACTTGAAAATGGAGCTATTATCATGTTATGTGGTCTCTGTGGGTCCAGAAGGTGGTGTGGTGCTGTCTCAGCTGTGATCTTAGCCTCAGATACATTCAGGATGGGCTGGGGCAGGAAACTTGGCTGCCCAGTTGCTCTGCATGTGCTGGAGATCGATAGGTCCTCTTATGGAGGTGTCCTCACAGATAAGTGTTTATGGCCTTGGCTGAAGTCACACTCTCCATAGGTCCAGAAGGCAGTGCTGTTGGACACAGGCTTGTGTGTTTTTTACTTTGATGAAGTACTTGCAGCTCAGCAAGGCTTGGGGTTTGCCTGGGGTCACAGAGCAGGGTAGAATCCAGCTCTGACTAGAGCTGGCAGGGTGAGGTAACAAAGGACCCAAAGGAACTTCCCATGAGATGGCTTGTGAAACCCTGAAGTCTCCTTAGGTCTGGCTTCAGGGAAAGCCTTGAGATTACCTGTGGCAGCCTTTTCCTCCTCCTGCCAGTGACCCACACCATATGTACATGCTGGTTACTGGGCAGCGTGGACTGTGGGACTGGCATATGCCCTCACTTCCTCCACCTGGAGGGTTTGTGACCTCATGGCCCCATTTGATGGTGTCCTATGGTAATGTGGGACCTTCTTTGGCCTTGATCTAGGAATGTTTTTCTTTTCTGAAGCTGTGCAAATTTTACTCTTAGTTAGTTGGAAGACAGACTCCCCATTCTAGAGTTCCACTCCTTAGGGGTGTGTGTGTGTGTGCCATCCTGTTCTGTTCACTGAGGTTGAGTTGACAGCAGAGGCCCAGGGAAGTTAGCTGTGAAGATCAGGTGGGGTGCTGTTCCTGCAGCTGGACTACCCCCAGATCCCAGCAGCAACTTCTCCCTTTGCCTCTGCCATCTCCCTGAAGAGCCCGTTTCAGCTTTCAAGGGTCCTTGGGAGGCAAAGACCCCCTCCTAAAAGGCAAAAAACCTCCTCAACGTGTCTACTTAAGAAATCTAGTATTTTGAACTTTGCAAAGCACTCATTAACAAATCCAGGATCTTGCATGTGGTAGGGAAGCACTGTGCCACTGAGCTATGCCCTACCTCTGTGGGTTACTTTTCAGTATAAACACTTGTGTACTGCTCTGATATGGATGAGCCGTGACCCTGGCTGGGGAGACAAGGCCCATGCTGTGGCCAGGAGAGATGACTGAGCTCAGTGGGTATAGAGATTGACTGGTGTCTGCCCTGGCTCATGGACAGGGGACGTACAGGTGAAACAGACTTGGGTACATTGGAAAAATAATAGCGTGAGCAGAGGAGCCGCAGTGGGAGGCGGGCTGACCCAGGCCCTGGCTTGCCCCTGCAGCAGCAGTGGCTGTATAGCAAAGTCCAAGCTCTCCCACAAAGCCAAGGGCAAGGAGGAGCTCTGCTTCTCTCTGACACACCCACTCAGAAGCAGGGAGGGAGTTCCGAGGGGGCGGTCATGGCAGGGGCAGCTGAGCTGGTGGACAAGGGCCCCTTGGTGTCTACCCTGCCCTTCCTGCTCCGCAAGCCGCGCAAGGCCCACAAGTACCTGCGGCTCTCACGCAAGAAGTTCCCGCCACACAGCGGGCCCCACCTGGAGAGTCACAGCCATCGACAGCCATCACAGCTCTCCCTGCAGGAGCCACCAGCCCCAGATGTCCTGCAGGCCACCGATGACTGGGAGCCTATGGAGCAGCCCCCGGAGGAGGAGGAAGAGGAGGAGGGTAAGGCAGTTATCCTAAGACCTCAAAGCCTGAAAGGTGTCTGACCTTTGTCCAGAGGGCCTAGAGACCACTCAGCTGTGGAATAGTGAGGACTGGTTTGGGCTTGACCCCTGCCCATCTGTAAGCTAGGCAGGTGCATGTGTGCCCCTAAGCATCCAGTGTCAAGCATATTGGGGAATGGGCTGTCTGCTGCCACTACTACTAACTGACCACTTAGTGCCAACTTGCGTCTCATCTGTGTCTTTGTCCCATGGCTGCAGCCGAAGCAGACCTGGCCAGTGGGCCCCCTCCCTGGACACCCACACCCCCCTCAAGTGAAGTGACCGTGACTGACATCACTGCCAACTCTGTCACCGTCACCTTCCGTGAGGCTCAGGCCGCCGAGGGCTTCTTCCGAGACCGAAGTGGGGAGCTGTGAACATCGGCTTCCCCTCTTAAACTGTGTCCCTTGGGGCTTGGGTGAGGATTTCCAGAGACAGGAGGGGCTGGGAGCAGGGCAAACACTATTTAAAAAAACAAAAGCAAAAGCATGGGGAAGGCCCCACCACCCTGGCCTTGCCCCATGAGGGTTGTTTGCAGAGGGGCCTCTGGCACAGGGAGGGAAGGCAGTGTTGCCTGGGTCTCATCTCCAGGGCAGATGGGGATGGGCTCCCCTGCCCAGTATGCCTCTGTCATTATCTTGCAGAGGCTGATCCTAGGAGTCCGAGCCCAGGAGGTTCAGATTCTGCTTTGAGCAATCACCCTAGCTCACTGGTGGTGTCCCCTCCCTGTTCCTTGGCTTGGGTCTTGACTATGAACTTTCCACTCCAGCTTTGTGGTGGGACATGGAGGCTGGCTTTGGCCACCAGGGACAGGATCAGGACAAAGGGTGTGGCCTGGACCAGAGAAGAGGCTGCCTACCAGGCCTCCTCTGAATGTGCTGTCCCTTCCATCACTAGCCTGTGTAGATGTCCGTGAACACATCCAGCCACCCCAGTGTGGACACACTGCCTGTGTGTGTTCTCCCCTGCCCCATGTCTTTAGACTTGTCCACGTGGACCTTGCACACCTTTGGAAAATGACCCGGTGAACATGGAGTAATTCACAGCACAAATGAACTTGTCATGGCACCTTCACTCCACCTTGCACATCTGGCATGTGACAGCATCAGACAGCTTGGGCTCAGCCTGGGCCTGGTGGCATCTGATCTTCCAGCCACAGATAGAACCGGGCTCAGGTGTGCAAGGTGCAGACACTTCCACCTGGGATAGCAGACACTTGGCCCTTCTTTCTCCCACAGGAATTCATGTTCTTTCTGACTCAGGTGACTTCAGCCCTTTCAGCTGACCCCACACGCTGCAGCTCAGCTGATCTGGATGCCAGTGGGTGTGGGCAGTCGGGGAGGGAGTGTCCCCTCTCTTTCTCAGGGCAGTCCTTGTCTACTGTGTTCCCTCCCCACCCACCTGAATGACACAGCTAAGGGTGCCCCTCCTACTTTGTGAGGATTGAACTATGATATATGTTGAGTCAGGCTGTACTAAAGCCTGTGTTCCTGGTGAGGGGAAGTTTGCTAGTTTGCACAGGTGTCCTATAGGCTAATACCTTCCTACCCGAGGAAGGGAAACTCCTGGTCAAGGTTGAAATGCTCCCTCACCCACTGCCACCATAGGAACCTATGTGGCTGGGTCCCAGCAGCCCCCAATTCTGTTGTTTTTGGGAGGCCAGCAGAGTCTACATGAGCAAGAATAAGGTGACTCCTAGACTCTCCCATTCCCAAACCAAAGAGCCTGTACCCTGTGTCTGGGGGTTGTCCTCAAGCCTCTCAAGTCCCTGGTTTCCCCCTCCTCCTTAATTCTCAATTGTCCAGGGTTAACTCAGTGCTTCCATTGGGGACAGCCTCCTGTGGGTGACTGTTTCACCTCGATCCTGAATCTAGAGAATGTTGGGGTAGGTCAGGGCGGGGAGAGTCAGGAGGAGTCCTAGCTCCTGGCAGAGAAGGTGAGGGTGGGTGGTTAAAATTTTGCTTTGTACCTGGGTTTGCTGGCCCACAGTACTGGGGGCAGCATCCAGTGGATGACAAGCTCCCTGTCCCTAGTGGCATGAGACTAATTGCCTGTACTTGGATCATGAGGCTTGGGGTTTGGGGGGGTGGGGAGAAGGGGGCATTCCAGGTATCTGTCTTGTGTCTTTAGCAGCAGGCAGTGTCATTTTCTCTCACACGACTTTTTATGGCACCAACTAGCTCGGGAAATTGTGGCCTAGGCTGGGGATCCCTCTGGGCAGTCATGTGGCTCTGGACTGCTCTGGACTAGCTTCCTAGAGAGAACCGCTGCAGGCTTTGAGAGGCTGCACTGCAGGCTTTGAGAGGCTGCACTGCAGGCTTTGAGAGGCTGCACTGGCTTCACCCAGTCTGAAGCTATGGGGTGGACAGTACCTCCTACACACACTGACCCACAAGGCCAGCGCTAGAGTGAGGAGTGGTGGCCACCTGCTATCTTTCCCTTGGCCCTGCCATTTGAATGTAGAGGTTGGGTAGTACTTTTCCCTCATTTTGGGCTGGGGTAAAGATGTACCTCAACTGCTGGTGTGGACACTCGAAATGCCACAGTTGCCCATTTGGGCTGTGTGGTTATCATCTGGTAAGATGGTGATCTCATTGCCAAGTTCCTCCCACCTCCTGCCCACTGGGGAAGGAGCTCAGTGTCAGTGAGGTGGTATAGGTTTTTGCTTTAAGTGGTGAGCCACACCTGGCTGCCAGGTCTCAGCACAAGACCGCTTCCTTTGCACAGAATGAGCTTCGAGCTTTGTTCAGACTACATGAATGTATTGGGAGGGGTGAGGAGGGTCCAAGCCTTCCCCTGGGATGTGTGCTGGGGAGAGGCAGCAGGTCAGAATGTGGTTTTATTTTTGTACTGATGGGTAAGAGACTGTAGAGCATCTATTTATTTAGATGATTTATCTGGTAGACTAGGCAAAAATTATTGAAAATACATTAAAATTATTTTTAAAATTCCTATGTGTCTGATTATTTTGGTGTTGTCAGAGCTGTATGACATTACACTCCCCACTCCTAGGCTGCGGCTCCAGGTCTCCCAACTGTAGCTCATGATCTGGACAAATCATTCAATTTCCCAATCCTCTAGACCACCAGTGAAAATCAACTGGGGACAGAAATGAGGTAGTTAGGGGCAGGGCCCCTGTAGTGTCATCAGAGATTGGGACTACTGTGGGCTTCACTGTTCCCCTGCATCTTCCTAAGAGTATCTTGTTCTAGAACTCTGGGGGTCAGCAAAGATGCTTACACTGTGGATGTAGGAAGGCAGGGGAAGAATCACTCTCCTCCCTGATTGAATGTGGGGTGGACATGTGTGTACATACACACCAACATCATGCCTGACTTTCCAGTTTGGACATTGGGTAATTGGTTGGACCCCACATCTGCTAATAGACATGGAAAAGAAATAGATTTGGGGGTGTCCTGAGTTATCCCCAAAGCTGAGCCTGAGACCAGGATGTTCTGTGAGAGATTATTTTGGGGGTCACAGGAACAAAGTGAGTGGAAGAAAGGGATGTACCACAGAAGTACTTAGGGACAAGGGGTCATTTGTGACACGTGACTCCTGATATGCGCACTGCATTGCCCAGTCCCAAGAATGGCATGGTAGGGCAACCCCTCACTGGGTGGCCCTGCATGTGCTAGTGTCCACCTCCCCAACCACCCATTTGTTGTATTGACCCTGTACTAAAAAGTGATGTCGGGCTGGAGAGGTGGCTCAGAGATTAATAGCACTGGCTGTTTTTCCAGAGTTCAAGTCCCAGAAACTATATGATGATCCAACCATCTGATGTTCTCTTCAAGTGTGCAGGCAGAACACTATATACTAAATAAAAATTTTTTTTAAATCTTTAAAAATTGAGTGATGTCTACTGTCACTTGAGATCTGAAAGGGACCTTCCATGTATCCACCCACAGCAAGATGAGAGGTGATGTCAAGAGGGTCCCTGGAGGTGTGGGGGGCCACTCCTCTGTTTAGCTGAACTCCACAGTAAGTCCACACTCTTTGGGACTCTCCAAAGAGGTGCCCTATGATCAGCAAAATCAGCAAAAGAGACCCAAGAGCAGCTGGACTGTGGTGGCACACACCTTTAATCCCAGCACTCAGGAGGCAGAGGCAGGCAGATCTTGGAGTTGAAGCCCAGCCTGGTCTACAAGAACTAGTTCCAGGGCAACCTCTGAAGCCATAGAGAAACCCTATCTCCAAAAAACAAACAAAAAAATAATAAGAGAGAGACTTAAGAGCCTTTGGAAGATTGGCCATGGGTCCTTGGAGGCCATTGATACTGGCTTCAAGGTTATACTGAACAGCATTCATCTTGTCCCTTTCCTTGGCCCCCTCAGCTGGCATTCCCACTGGTCAGTGCATTCATCCAAGGGGACTAGGGCCCAGCTGCCTTACTTTCATCAACTTGTCGTTGCTTCCTATACTGATTTAGTCTCCACTGGGGTTAGGAGCAGTAAGACTGCCCAGGGACGACAACTCCAGGTCCCAGCAAGCTCCTCTCCTGGGTGTGAAGTAGTAACCTCAGGACCAGGGGAGCCTCCAAATGAGTTCTGTGAGTTTGTTTCTCCTGTTGACCCCACTAGTAGCTTCTGAGGAACACCCTGCATTGCCATCTTGGTAACAGGACATCTGATTCCATTCCACAGGAGGAACAGATTCTGCAAGTCCAGGGAAGGACTTACCCAGCTTCCAGTCCTTGCCATTTCCTGGACAGGGCCATATTCATTGGATGTGTATACTAGATCTTACCCAGAGATGCCGCCTGCACAGACAACCCTCTCTGGGCTGTGTTCATTGTCCCCACAGGCTGGCTGCCCTGGATGATGTTGCATGGGGCAGGGCAGCAGATCTGATGACCATGCCCACACGACTGTATCTTCTCTACTAGGAGAATGCTGCTTCTAAAGCTGCAGCAAGGGAAAGGCCTGTAGAGTAAATCTGATGTTTTTGCCACCAATAGATGGCAGCAAGGACGTAGGTGACTAGGTGCTAAACAGATGCAAATGCTCAAGAGCAGTGGTTCTCAACCTTCTTAAGGCTGCAACCCTTTAATACAGTTCCCAACCATAAATTATTTTCATTGCTACTTCATAACTGTAATTTTGCTACTGTTATGACTCATAATGCATTCACTTACACAGGATATCTGATATGTGACCCCTCCAAATGGGTCTCAACCCACAAGTTGAGAATGGCTGCTCTAAGGGGTCAGGAGTCCCAGGGTGACCAATCAGTCATTACACTGGTAAGTGGCCTCCTTGAGGCTCAGCATCATTTGAGACCCACCATGGATGGATGGGACAAGTCATCACCCTAAGTAGCTTTTAGCCAGCCTTGGGAGAGAGTATCTATGCTGAATCCTCACAAAGCCTCCACTGCCCATCACACCTGCCCTAGGGGGTCTGTGCCATTGGGCAAATGCTGGGATGATGACTGAAGCTGATCATCATCACCTAAGGCAACAGATGGAGAGGCAACGCATCTCCTACCTACCCTCATATTCCCTGAGAATCCTCTGTTGTACTTGTTTTCCTTGCTGACCTCAAGCCATACTTTATGTACACTTGCAGTCTCAGTGTTGGGAAGGCTGAAGCAGGATTATTCATTTGAGCCTAGCCTGTATATAGGCTAGGTCTATATTGTGAGTCTCTGCCTTAAAAATAAATAAATAAATAAATAAATAAATAAATAAATAGAAATGCAGGTATGAGACATGGGACTAGATGCCTTCAATAGTACTTTCCAGCACTCTGGAAATAGAGGCAAGCAGATGTCTATGAGTTTGAAGCTAACCTGGTCTACATAGGGAATAGCAGGCAGGCAAGGTTATATAGGGAGACCCTGTCTCAAAACCAAACAAAAGGCTGGGTGTGTAGGCCCATACCTGCAATACCTGCATACTTGACTATGCAGCAATTGTGAGGCCTGGCTGGGCTATGAGAGACTGGGGTGGGGGGGAGGGGGGAGGACAAGAAAGAAAGAAAAGAAAAGGAATTAAAAAGGAGGAAGGAGTATAAAGCCAGCTGGGTCAGGGCTGACATTGTTTACATTAAATCCACTCAGAACTTCCCACCACCTTGTGATCCCAGCTTCTTTGTACCCAAGACTCCCAGGCTGATAGCCCAGGGAGAGAGAGTCCAAGGAGCTCAAGGCAGACCTCCCAAGAGGACCAGCAGGGGAGATCAGCCTGAGTGTTTACTGTGGTGATGGTGTTTGTGAGATAGTTTGTGAGTAGGCCAGAGCTTAGTTTCCCATATTATTAAAAAGAGGTGAACACATACTCATCAGTTTTAACAGGTACAGAATGGAGAGGAAAGTAGAAGCTGTCTTCACACCCAAGCTTCTGGAGCTTTTCATCACTGTGGTGGCACTGGTACCCCGTGTCCTGGCCAGCCTGTGACATCCTGTACATGGCAGGCCTCCATTACACAGGTGCTTGCTGGACTGGCCATGTTCTTACGTCCTTTTGGCATTCCAGCTACTGCATCTTTGGGAGGGAGTCTACTTCCACGTGTGGTCTGACAATTCGGGGCAGGAGGGTGTTAGCTTGGACTCAGTCAGAGGATTGGTGAAGAGTGGCACCTGATGCTGCTAGTTGGTTTTTGTCAACTTGTCACAAGCTACAGTCATCTGGAAGGAAGGGACTTCAACTGAGGAAATGTCTCCAGCAGATTGGCCTGTGGGCAAGCCTATGAGGCATTTTCCTGATTAGTGGTTGATGGATGTGAGAGGGCCCAGCCAACTGTGTGCAGTGTCACCACTAGGCAAGTGGTTCTGGGACTTAGAAGAAAGCCAGCTGACTGGATGGTTGGTGGTGGCCCATGCCTTTAATTCCAGCAAAGGTAGGAAGATCTCTGTGAGTTCAGTGCTAGCCTGTTTCACAAAGTAAGTTCCAGGACAGCCAGGGCTGTTACACAGAGAAACCCTGTCTCAAACAAACAAACAAACAAAAAAGGAAGGAAGGAAGAAAGAAAGAAAGAAAGAAAGAAAGGAAGGAAGGAAGAAAGAAAGAAAGCAGACTTAGTGAGCTATGGGGAGCAAGCCAGTAAGCAGCCCCCTCTGTGGCCTCTGCTTCAGTTCCTGCCTCCAGGAACTGCCTTGACTTCCCTTCTCGATAGACTGTGATCCAGATGTGTAAACCAAATAAACCCTATCCTCCTAAATTGCTTTTGGTCATGGTATTTTATCACGGTGATAGGAAGGAAAACTAAGACATGGCTTTTTCCCCACAGGCTTTCAGGCCCTGTGGGAATCTACTGGACCTTCCCTATCAGAGCTGAAGCTCCATGCTTGCAAAAGCTGTGTCTCAAGCTTCCCTCTATCTTCTTCAGGGCTGAACATACCCTAGAAAAATACAAAAGAAAGTGATGATCTGAAAACTGTATTTTCCAGCTGAGTGGTGGTGGTGCACAACTTTAATCCCAGCACTTGGGAGGCAGATCTCTGTGAGCTCAAGGCCAGCTTGGCCTACAGAGTGAGTTCTAGAACATCCATGGCTACACAGAGAAACCCTGTCTAGAAAAACCAAAACGAAAAGAAAACAAAAAACCTTATTTTCCAAACCAACCAGTTGAATGAGAAAGGCCTTCTGGCTCTCATAGCATGGCCTTTGTTGATTACAGGCTTATCTGACTGAGTCTCTGGTACTGTTGGAAACTAAGGTTTCATGCAAGAGAGGCAAATGCTTATCATTGATGGTGGGCTTGCTTCTGCCTGGAGTTTTGATGATTGAAAAAGCATCATAAGGGCTGGGGATGTTGGGAGAGCAATTGCCTAGTATGCACAGAGCCTGGGATTAAGCCCCAGCACCACATAAAACTAAGAATGGTGGTGCCCATCTCTAATCCTAGGCACCAGGAAGGGAGAGGCAGGAGGATTTGGAGTTCAGGATTATCTTCAGTGTGTAGTCAATTTGAAGCTAGTCTAAGCTGCATGAAACCTTGACTAGAGAGGGGAAAAAAACTCTCTTAAAAGTGTCCTTCAGTGAGGGACCCCTGCAGGGAAGAGAACCATTTGAAGAGATGAGAATGAAAACCCAGTGTAGGTTGACTTCATCAACCTGGACCAGACTTTGGGGATGTGTATGTATATGTATGTATGTATGTATGTATGTATGTATATATATATATATATATATATATATATATATATATAATTTTTTAGTTTCTTGAGACAAGGTTTCTCCGTCCTGGAACTCACTCTGTAGACTAGGCTGACCTTGAACTCACAGAAATCCACCTGCCTCCGCCTAAGTTCTATAGCTCAAAGGGCTGGAATCTAGTGTGGCCTCTGACCAATAGCATAGAGAGCAACAGGCCATAAAGTCCATGTGATATCTCCCCTAAGGATGGGTAATGGTCTAGGGAGGGAAGAGTCTGGAATCATTCTGGAGAATCAGGGTGAGGTCTGCCTCTATAGCAAAAGTGTCTCCACAGATGGCAAAAAGGTCACCAGGTCACTAGCAAAATCCACTCCCAGCCTTCTGAGTGGGAAAACAGCTATTTCATCTCCTCCAGTGAGAAAAAGCACCTGTGCATTTAACATTCTTGGTTTTCCTTATTGCTTCTCTGTGAGTAAAAAAGGCCTCTGTGCCCACACATTAGGCCAGGCGATGGTGACATACCTTTAGTCCCAGCACTCGGGAGGCAGACAAACAAAGTGTCCATCTGAAGTCCCCATGCTCTCCTCACTCCAGTTCTTCTTAGCTGGGGAACCCAGAGTGAGAACTCCCAGCCCTTCTGGGTCTTTTCAGAGGCTGAGAAGCCCCTAGCTTTGGTAGGAAGTGAGAGAGACACATCAACGTTAGAATAGCAACCAAAGATTTTGCAGGTGCAAGTTTCATTCTGAGTTAAGACGACTGTAGGCGACCGGGTGGAGGCTGCTTGCCACATCGTGATGGCTTAAACACAGCTGCCTCCTACAGTTTCAGAGATAGGAAAGATGAAGTCCAACATAGTGGTGCTGCTTGGCTGTGGTGAGGGCTGCCTACTGGTTTGAACATGGTCACCTTTTTGTTGATTGGTCCTGGGGAGGGGTTGGTATCTCAGTTGCCCCCCCCCCACCATGTGTTTTTGATTTTTAGGTACAGTTCCCAGTGCCTCCATGGCTGACCTTCTCACTTAAGGTACTTCCCTATCGCAGGAGGTGGCTGCTCTTTTGTCATGGACACTACTTTTACCCTTGGGCTGTTCTGTGGTTCTCTTTTCCCTCTCACAGTTATGGGGCCAGCCCATCCCTAGACAGGGAATCTGGGGGGACACTTGTCATAAACATGCTTGCATCTGAAGTAGATGGGGGAAAGCAACCCCACCTCCAGAGTCAGACTTTCAATGAGTTCAAACAGCATGGACAATTTACCAATACATTACACCCACACAAATGGTTTAGATCTCATCTAACCAAATAAGCCCAAAGTCTGTCTGTCTGTCTGTCTCTAAAGTCTAAGTGCTCTCCCAGTAGATGTTTTCTCACACAGACACTCTTAGCTTTGGGAGAAACAAGGGGAAAGAGTTACATGATTAGATCAATCATGGTCCACCTTGAGCTAGCAACATTACCACTCCAGCCAAATCTGGGGTTTCAAATAGTTTTTCCTTCATGGATTTGACTGCTGTTTTTAAAAAAATTAATGTGTGTGTGTGTGTGTACACGTGACTGTAGGTTCCCATGGAGGCCAGAGGAGTCAGATCCCCTGGAGCAGGAGTTAGAGATAGTTGTGAGTTATCAGGTGGGGATGCTAGGAATTGAACTTGCGTCCTCTATAAAAGCAGCACACTTGGGTCTGAGCCATTCCTCTACCCCTATTGACTATTAATTTTTAAAGATTTTTTTTTTCTGAGATGGGGTTCCTCTGTATAGCCCTGGTTCCATCCTGGAACTCACTCTGTAGACCAGGCTGGCCTCAAACTCACTGAGATCTCCCTGCCTTTGCCTCCCAAATGCTGGGACTAAAGGCATGTGCACCACTGCCTGGCTTTTTGTTTTTCTTTATGTGTATGCATGTGTTGATGTCAGTGCATGCCATGTGTGTACAAATGCCTGTGGAGGCCAGAAGACGACATAGATCTCTTGGGGGCCTGGAGCCACAGGCAGCTGTGAGTGAGCACTGAACTTGGATCCTCTGGAAGTGCAGCAAACACTTAACCACTGAGCCATCTCTGGAGTCCCTACCTTCTTCTGATGCATTAAAGTATAAATATGTTTTAGTTCTTCAATCCCACCTTGTTCGAATTGCTGCTGTGGATTTGATGAGCTGTCAGCAGGCAAAAGCACTTGGGCATTGAAAGCCTGATGACCTGAGTTCAACCCCTGGGGCTCCCCATGACAGCAGGAAGGAGAAACAACCCCACAAAACTTGTCTCTGGGGTTGGGAGAGATGACTCAGCAGTTGAGAACATTTGCTGTTCCGGCAGAGTTTTGTTTCTAGCACCTACTTTAAACAGCTCACAGATGCCTGTAACTCCAGCTCAAGGAGAGGTTGGTTTTTTGTTGTTATTTGCTTTGTTTTGTTTTTTTAGGCAGGGTCTCGATATGTAGCCTTGGCTGGCCTGGAAGTCATTATGTAGACCAGGCTAGCCTCAGACTCACTCTGCTTCCAGAGTGCTGGGGTTAAAGGTGTGCACCACCACCACCTCAATTATTTTTCTTCTTTGTTTTAAGTACCATTATGCCTGGCAACTGATTAATGAGAAAGAATCTTTCACTGAACCCAGGGCTCACCATTTTAGCTAAATTGGCTGGCCAGCCATCTCTTTGGAATCATCCTCTCCCAGAGTCCCCCAACCCATCCCAGCAGCACCAGGGTTCTAGGCAGATAATGTCACACCTGGCCTTTTACTCGGGTGCTGAAGATCCAAACTGAGGCCCTCTTGGTGCACGGCAAGCACCTTACCCACTGAACATCTCCCAGGTTTGACTGTCTAAGTGAGAGGACTCACCCTAATGTGGGAGCTACCTCCTCAGGGGTTGGGGTCCTAGATTAAGAGGGAAATTCGAAGTCAGCGGAGCGCCAGTATTCATTTCTGTTTTCTGGCTGCAGACACATCTTCCTAGATTATCCAGGTGCTTTGATTTCAGCTTAGATCCTTCTGTCTCAACCTCTGCAGTACATAGGATTACCATGGTACAGCATCAAGTCTGTTTATTTAGACACATAACAGACTTTGGAAGGGACAGGGTGTTGTAATTTAAAAAATGTGCTCAGGAGAAAGACACTATGCAACATGGTTCAAGCAGAGGGGTTTTTTATTAGGGAAAGGAATCATAAAAAAGGGGAGGGGATGGGGGAGACTGGCCTCCAGGGACAGGAGCAGTGGGAGAGAGGAAAGAGGGGCAGAGAGAGGGGAGGGAGAGAAAGGAAGAGAGGGAGGGCATGGCCCTTTTAAAAGAGAACATAGTGAATATGAACAGGTGATGCTCTTTTTTTTCTTTTTGGTTTTTTGAGACAAGGTTTCTCTGTAGCTTTGGAGCCTGTTTTGGAACTCACTCTGTAGACCAGGCTGGTCTCAAACTTGCGGCAATTCCCCTGCCTCAACCTCTCAAGTGTTGAATTACAGACATGACCCATCATGCCCAACTTAATTGTTTTCTTCTTCCTTTTTATTTATTTATTTTTATCGAGACTGGGTTTCTTTGTGTAGTCCTGGAGCTTGATATGTAGATCAGGCTGGCCTCTAACTCTCAGAGAGGTCTAAGCCACCATGCCCAGCCCAACTTAAAATTTTCAATTACAAAATTAAGCACCTATCGATGAAAAAAAAAAAAAAAAAAAAAAGAAAGAAAAATGAGAATAAAAGGAAGGCAAGTTCTGGAATGGTGGGGCATGATTTAATGCCAGCACTCAGAAGGCAGAGACAGGTGGATCTCTATGAGTTTCAGGCCAGACTAGTCTAGAAGCAAGCTACACAGTGAGACCCTGTCCCAAGAAACAAACAAACAACAAAACAAACAAACAAAAAACGGCAATAGAAATAGAAGAGCAAGGTCTTCTAGACTTGGCGTTGGGGTGGAAGCTGGAAGATACGCTCGAGACTATTGAATCTCTTTTTGCCATTCAGGACAATGGGGGTCCAAGTTGTAAATTTCCAAGGTCATTCGTCAAATCTTGCAGACCCCGGGACTGTTGAGAGAGAAATTATGTTGTGCCAATGGGTGTGAGGAAAGAGGCAACAGGGATGTTCAAGGGAAGAACAGGGACAGAGATTTGAGGAGAGCGCCTGAGGGAGAGAACAAAAGACGTCTAGAGAGAGAGGCAAGCGGAGAGTGAACAGGAAAAGAGGGGGCGGGGCCTATAGCAGGAAGTCAGGCAACAGGAGGAAGAACTCTGCAGAAGAAAAGGCCTGCAGTAAGAGGGCGGGGTCGTACTACGAGGCGGGGCCTGAGAACAGCAGGGCGGTTCTCACCTTGATCCTCTGGAGCCGTCTTTGTATGCACCAGCTGTTTTTCTCCAGATTATTCCACGGCCAGAACGGACTTTGGGAGTTCACAAAGTTTATCCAGCAGTCAGTAAATTCTGAGATGGAAAGAGGGTAGCCAGTGAGGCCCCAGGTCGTGCAGAGGCCTTCCTCTTACGTCCTCCCACCTTCCCCTCCCAGGGCATTACTCTCTCGATAGAATCCGCCCTTCCGGGTGGAGGCAAATCTTTGATCTCAGCAGGGTCAGAACCCTTCCTTCTTGCCCAGCGTCTCCCCCATCCTTCTGGCCATGGCTAGTCCTCCTGGAGCTGGGAAACCTTTGCCCACTGGTGGCTGTGGTTCCTTCTTACGCGGGAGGTCCATGATGTCCACCTGGATCCCCGATCGCCAGAGAGAACACAGGCCCTCCTGGTACTGCCTCCTCCAGTGGAAGTACAGACGGGAGGTGTAGATGTGTAGAACCAGGTCTGGGTGATCCATTTTGAATGCAGCCAGTTCCTGGGCACAGTTCGGGCAGGGGCTCCATGTGAGGTAGCACGTGATTCGCATTTGGCCGAGTTCCAAGGAACGCATCTCATCAATGAAGAGGATTTCTGCGTGTTTACCTTTCTGAGGGGAGTCCAGGCAGAGAGAAGGAAAAGTTGAAAGGCAGAAACCAGACATCGTGTGAATTTTCTAAAGTCTTGCCTAGCACAAGGAGAGCCTCTCCTTTCTGCGCTTTACCCACTAACTCCACATCACAAAGCACACAGCCTTTTCTAAATTGGACAAAGATCCCAGAAGTGCCCAGAGGAAAGGGGTCAGCAAATGGTTGGTGCATTCAAGTCATGGTTCCCAGTGCAGTGACTTCACTTCAGGATGCTAACCCAAAGAGTTTTGATTTTCTTCTTTTGGTTTTTTCAAGACAGGGTTTCTCTGTAGCTTTGGAGCCTGCCCTGGAACTCGCTCTGTAGACCAGGCTGGCCTCAAACTCAGAGATCTGCCTGCCTCTGCCTCCCGAGTGCTGGGATTAAAGGCGTGTGCCACCATCACCCGGCTCTGACAAGTTTTTCACAGATGTTGTAATCAGGCAGTGAAGAGGCCACTGTGTGCAGTACATTGTTTCTCCAAGGCAGTAAAAAAGCAAAACTGGGAGGGAAATCAAACATCCGAGTGCAGCCTGGCCGTAGTGGCCTGGTCTACAGAGTGAGTTCAAGGACAGGCTCACTCCAAAGCTCCACAGAAAAACATTGAGTGCACCATGGGTGGCAGGAGGAGTGTGCTATACAGGGAACCTGGAAAGAACCAGGGCCACCAAGAATGATTGAGTTCTGCTGGGCGGTGGTAGCGCAGGCCTTTAATCCCAGCACTGGGAGGCAGAGGCAGGTTGATCTCTGTGAGTTTGAGACCAGCCTGGTCTACAAGAGCTAGTCTCAGAACAGGCTCCAAAGCCACAGAGAAATCCTGTCTTGAAAAGCAAAAACAACAACAAAAGACCAAGTTCCAGTATGGGGGGGTAGTGAAAATTGGGACCCTCACAGTATATGATGTGTTGGAGAGGGGGAGTCCCTGGCTGCCTCTCCATCTGGCTCTGAGGACCTATCTGGCACCTTGTTTTGCAGGCAGCCTTTGAGTGGCTGTTGGTCATTGTGCTGCTCCAGCTGGTAGCATAGATAGGTCTTCCTTTGGTAATAGCGATGCTGGACTGGCTCAACCCGGTGTCTATTGTTATACTGCAAATAGAATATGTCTTCTCTCAGCAGACTCACTGGGCTTCTGTACAAGAAACAAACAAATGAAGGTATGAAATGTGACCTCTGGGCTCAGCCTAGCCTTAACCCAACTCTGAGGCAAAGTATATCAGGAGCTAATTCTCCCTTACACCTTTGCTGCCTCTACACTCCCTGTGCATGGCATTTAGGAATGAGGGTCATGTTGAACCATTTCAGAAAATGCTTTAATTTATTTATCTATTTATTAATTCTGGGTGGTGCACATGGGCAACTATGCATGGATGAGTGTCATAACACGTATGTGGGTCAGAGGTTAGCTTGCAGGACCTGGTCCCCTCCTTCTTCCTTCTACCATGTGCTCATCCGGTTGGCAGCACATTTCCCTAGTTTGACATCTTGCCAGCCCAAGACATATTTTTGTTGTTATTGTTTTATGAGATAAACTGTGTAGCCTTGGCTATCCTGGAACTGGCTCTATAGACCAGGTAGGGCCTTCAACTTTACCTTCCATGGGGGGTGGGGGGCTTTGTGAAGCCCATAGTCCCATCATGTCCCTTCATGTCATAGTCATCCTCTGTCCTTTTTTACTTACTACAATGGTGCTTTCTTTTAAACTGGAACAAATTTGACTTTCAGACTCTAAAGGCATTTAACTCCCTGTGTGAAGACCAAACTATGAATCCCACACCAGGAGATCTGGGCCTCCAGAGTATTGTGCATCTTCTCCTTTTCTTTCCTTCTTTCTTTCTTTCTTTCTTTCTTTTTTTTCTCCCTTTGGTTTGTTTGTTTGTTTGACAGGGTTTTTCTGTATTGCTTTTGAGCCTGTCCTGGAACTAACTCTGTAGGCCAGGGTGGCCTTGAACTCAGAGATCCACCTGCCTCTGCCTTCTGAGTGCTGGGATTAAAAGTATGAGCCACCAGTGCCCCTTTGGTTTTTGTTTTTGTTTTTTTTTTAAAGACAGGGTTTCTCTGTGTAACAGTCCTAGCTGTTCTGGAATGCTCTGCAGATCAGGCTGGCCTCAGACTCACAAAGATACACCTGCCAAGTGCTGGAATTAAAGGTGTACATACACCACTACAGCCTGGCTGTCTTCTCCTTTTCTGTATGTTTGGTACACCTATGTGTGCCCATGAGGGGCCAGAGCAGGACACTGGCTATTTTTATCTGCTGCCCCCACTGAACTGGGAGGTCCTCATTTAGTTTAGGCTGGCTGGCCAGTAAGCTCCTGGGACCTGGTCATTTTGACACCCAAGGCTAGACTATAAACACATTCAGCTTTGCCCGACTCTTTTCACATGGGTACTGGAATTTTGAAATCTAGTCTTCAGGCTTGCAAAGCAAATACTCATACCTCATGAGCCATATTCCTCACCCTATACTTTTCAAGTGTTCAGTGATTCCCTATTTTCTGTCTTCCATGCATCTCTGTCAAGATTCAAATCTACTCAAGCTCACCACATGTTGGGGCTATAGGGCCATCTGAAGGGCTCCAGGTGGCTCAGTGGTTAAGAGTACATGATGTTCTTGCAAAGGACACAAGTTTAGTTCCCAGCACCCAAATAGTGGCTAGCAGCTTTCGGTAACTCCAGTTCCAAGGCATCTGATACCCTCTTCTGCCCTCTACAGGCGGTATATGCAAGTGCACTTATATAAGTGCAGGCAAAATGTTCATCTCTCTCTTTCTCTCTCTCTCTGTCTCTCTCTCTCTGTCTCTTTCTCAACACACACAAAACTTTACCACATGAGCAGGGCATGGTCTCGAACACCTTTAATCCTAGCACTAAAGAGTCAGAGGTAGGCAAATAGGCAGATTTCTGTGAGTTTGAGGCCAACTTGATCTACACAGTGAGTTACAGGACAGCCAGGGCTGTTATACAGAGAAATGCTGTCTTGAAAAACAAACAAAGGAAAAAAAAAAAAAAAAAAAAAAGAAAGAAAGAAAGAAAGAAAGGAAAAGAAAACAAAAAACCCAAAGGAAAACAACAACAAAACCAAATCATAAAAATCAAACAAAAATCAAATAACAAAAACCTCACCACATTTAAAATTCGACGAGATTCTTAACCCATCCAACTAACTTCTCAGAAAGAAAAATGGGCCTGCTGAAGGGGAAGCAATTGGATAAATGTTAAATCTAGGGCCAACATCCCATCTCAAATCCCAGGCAAGGAAGGCCTGATCCTCAAGACGGCAGATATGGGGGACAATCCTGAGGTGTCTGTCTGAGAAATACTACGAAGATGCCATGTGATCTGGGCAGTCTCCAATCATGAGACCCAACAGTCAGTCTCCATTCCAGCATCCTCATCCTGCCTGGTTCTCCAGGAGAAAGTCGCCGCATGAACATTGGGGGTTGGGGAATGGGGGGGGGGGGGAAACGGGACGAGACCACATGCCTTTTGTATGCAAAACTGCAAATACAGGTTAATGTATAATGTTTTTTTTTTTTGCCCCTGTGTACCCCCACTTCCTGCCTAGGGTTAAGTTCATTGTCCAAGATCAATGACATATTTTTTTTCTTTTAAAAAGGATTTTAAGCTGGGCAGTAGTAACACACAATTTAATCCAAGCACTAGGGAGGCAGAGGCAGGCAGATCTCTGTGAGTTCGAGGCCAGCCTGGTCTACACAGGGAGTTCCAGGAGAGCCAGGGCTGCACAATGAAACCTGGTCTCAAAAACAACAACAAAAAGATTTTAGTCTTCATCTCTAATTATGTGGAGGCTGGGTGGGGGGAGGTGGGTATGTGCACATGTGTGCAGATGCCGACAGAGGCCGGAAGATGGTGTCAGATTTCCTGAAACTGGAGTTACAGGCAATTATGAACTACCTGTGTGTGGAGTTCCTCTGCAAGAGCAGTTTGTACTTTTAACCACTGAGTGCTCTTTGCAGTCCCCAAGCTTTTCTTATCTTGACCCAGATCTTGCTGGAAGGTAACATTCTGTTATCCTCACACTCATGTGAAACCAAGCTCCTCCCCTTCCCAAGAAGTATGGGCAGGGGCACATGTATGCATGAATGCACACATAATTCCACATGACAAACAGACCAGCAACATACAGGAACTTTGTATATTAGGAGCACATAAACAGCCTGCAGGAACTATCCTTCAGTGTATTCAACAGCCAAAGCTTATGAACCTAAACCAAGGACGATAAAGGGACAAAAAGGGCAGCCAGAGCTCAGAGAGGATGGGCTCTCTTGGGCTCTCTCTGATGGGGTCTTACAACATCCAAAAGTGCTGATGGTGTTGGGAAAGCAGCCTTATTCCAACAGTGAACCACTCAAGGGTTTAAGCTCTCTCCTCAAAGGGCCCATAATCTACTTATGCCCATTCTTGCCTGTGCCCACCAGGCAGATCTTTTGTTCTGAAAAACAGGGTCTTGCAGTGTAGCTCCAGCTAACCTAAAACTCCCCATGTAGTGCAGATTAGCCTTGAGCTCATTGAGATCCATTTATTGGTACTAGGATTAAAGGTCTGCAGCAGAGATGGGGGTAGGGGACAGACCTTTAATCCCAGCATTTGGGAGGCAGAGGCAGATGAATCTCTGAGTTTAAGGCTAGCCTGGTCTAGAGTGAGTTCCAGGACAGCCAGAGCTACACAGAGACACCCTGTCACACACACAAAAACAAAACAAACAAACAAACAAAAAACAAAACAAACAAACAAAAAACAAAGAAAAAACAAAAACAAAAGACCTGTGAGCATAGGCAGGTCTTCTAAAATTTTTTTTATTCATTTTTTATTTATATGAGACTCTGTATGTGTGTGCCATCCCCATGTGGCATTTTAGCGTTTGGTGCACTGTGTAAGGACTGGGGAATTTTGCCTCCTCACTGTTCTTTTCTTTCTCTTAACTTGTAGCTCTTGAAGAGCCAGGCTTTTCCCCAAGGTACCTGAAGGCACGTGTGCCCAGTGTGTGTGTCTGTGTGTGCATGTGCCCTTAGAGGGAAAGCCACACACACTCATGTGGTGTAATGAGTAAACCAACTGTCACAAGTTGACCTCTGACCTCCACATGTTCTCCTTGGCACACATGTACCCATTTACCCATATACAAACACAACACAAAAATGGGTTGAGACTCTTTTATAGAATGGGAGATAATCTGCCAGTCATACATCTAACAAGGAATTAATATATAGAGAATAAAGAACTAAAAGAACAAAACAAAACAAAAAACCAAACCAAAACAAAACAAAAAACCCAAAAACCAACAACAACAAAAAACATTGAGCCAAGTGGTGGTGCTGGGAGGTGGTGGTACATGTTTTAATCCCAGCACTCAGGAGGCAGAGGCAGGCAGATCTCTGAGTTTGAGGCCAGCCTGGTCTACAGAGTGAATTCCAGGACAGCCAGAGGTACAAAAAAAACACCCCTGTCTTGAAAAAAAAAAAAAAAAATGCATGACGAAAAAAATGTTCAACATCTTGACAGGAGGGGGGAATGAAACTCCCAACTACACTGAGGATAGGGGTGATCACTAAGTTGGTGCAATGCTTGCCATGCAGGCAGGAGGATCTGGTTTGGATCCTGAGCACCCATGTATAAAAGCTGACTATAGAGGTTTGAACCTGCAATCCCAACACTGGGAAGCTTTGTACAGGACATCACGGGAACTGGCTATCCAGCCCATGAAGCCCATTCAGTGAGACCACCCAGCATTCCTCTGTCATTCCCAACATGCACACACACATGAACACATAAACATGCCTCTCAGCACATAACCTACATTGCTTTTCCTTATCAATCAGCAATAGTTCATGCTTGTAATCGCAGCACTTGGGCATCAAGAGGCAGGAAGATTACAGCAAGCTAGAGGCCAGTCAGGGCTACCCAGTGAGACACTATCTAATAAAATTAAACAAAAATAAATTAAAAAATAAATGACAACCAATGTTGGTGAGGAAACGGCGTAGAGAAAGAAGCCCCTCCCCAATGTGCAGTTACTATGCAACAGCATGGAGGTTGCACAAACAATCAAGACTTAGAATATCATGGGGCCCAGACATGGGTCCTAGAAATGGAAGACTTAAAGTCCCCACGACACAAGGCACCTGCACATCCACGTTTATTCTAACACCCACAAAAGCTAAAATATGGGGCCAGCCTGGGTGTGTCCATCAACAGATATATGGACGAAGAAAACAGAGCCTATAAACATGATGGGCTTTACTCAGCCATGAAGGGGAACACATATGCTTTTCAGGAAAATGGATGGAATTGGAGACCATGATATGAAGGAAATAAGCCAGATTAGACAGAAAACAGAAATGAAACCGTGTGTGTGTGTGTGTGTGTGTGTGTGTGTGTGTGTGTGTGGTGTAAGTAAGAGCTTGGAGACTCTGTGGTGAGGAAGGATCAGCAGGAGAGGGAACTAGAAGTCATTGGTGTGTGTGTGTGTGTGTGTGTGCGCGCGCGCACACACACACACATGCACGCCAATCATGATATACATTTGTGAAAATGCCACAATCAAATCCATTATTTTGTACATCGATTTAAAAATGTAAATATATATTTAAACATTTAAGACTAAACTCCTAGGAGCACAGGACTGGGGAAACAGTGGGGGCTTCTGAAGAAGCAGGATCTGGGGCAAGAGGGGATACAAAACAGATACCTGGTCCTTTCCCCTCTCTCGAGGCCACCTGTGGCCTTGGGGAAGTCCTTGGTTTGTGACTGGGCTCTTAAAACATCTGTTTGTGACTCACCCATTCCTACCAGGGTCTCTGCCGGTCCTCCTGTTTTTAATCTCCTTAGGCCCTGCCTGTCAATATTGTCTTTTTTCAAGCCTCCCACATACTTGTCCTGGGGCACCCTGTGGGGTATCTTGGGCAGGTTGGTCCTTGGGTCCTGGGGCTTCCTGCCCAGTAGGCTCTGTCTCGGAGACCCTGATAGTTATCTACAGGTCCCACCCCGGAACAGGAGGGCCCAGGGCAGTTAGGCTGGCTCAGTCTCAGGCTCACCCTCCTTCCTGTTGTCCTCTGACTTGGCACAGTCTAGGATGGGGACAGATCTCCCCATGCAGGGATCCTAAAGGAAAGAGGAAGTAAACTCCGAAAGGGAAGTGGGTAAAGAGCAGGATTGGGAAGGGGGAAGGGCAGACGGAGCCCTCTTCACTCACCCCTAACAGTCACTTGGTGTGGAGTTCACCTCCAGCCCTGGAGAAGTTAGCACCTCTGCCCTACCTGCTACACCAACAATACAGGAATGGGGGAGGGGGAAGAGGCATCACGGCTCTGACATCTCAAAACCGTTCTCAAGCCCACAGAGAGGCTGAAACTGACTGTCTTTAGAGGTCACACAGCAAATTAAGAACACTGCTGGAGTGTGATCCCTCCTCCTCCAGCTGCTGCTTCTGTGGCCCCCATTGTTCTCAGGAAAGTCGCAGGAGTAGGGGTTAGGGAGGAGGTGGCTCCCCCCAAGCCCTGCCAGGTCTAAGATACAAGGACATGGACTTCAAGTTCACATTCCTGAAGCTGCCTGCCTGCTTTGGCAAGTCCCAACCAAGGATGCTCAGATTAGAAAATACAAAGAACATTCTGTGAAGGATGTCACCTAAGGGCCTGGCTCTCACAAGACCCACAGTCTCAGCGGCCTTGTCCCTACAGTTGCCCTCCGTCCCCCGCCCCACTCTCAGCCTCTGTCCAGCCCTGGCTCCATTCCTGACAATAACAGAAGCTCAGACAAGATTAGAGGCACTGTCCTAATGTCCTGGAGCCCACTTCCAAGGAAGATTCCACCATCGGTATACTGGCAGCTTATCCAAAAGGCTCCAGGCGAGTCCCACATCAAAGGGTAGAACCCTGGCTTCTCCCTGGAGAATTCCCAGGTTTCTGGCCTTGAGAGGCACAGTGTTGGACAGAAAACAGACATGCCGCCAGGGGAGCCTGCCAGGCTCAGGCTGCTGCTGGACACCTGGGGGCAGGTCTCAAGCACAGGTCTAAGCATCTTTCAACACAAGAAAGACACAGTCTAGCTCATGAGGGACAACATTGGTGATGGGGGCAGTGGAACTTGGGGCTACATCAGGGCCCCTCTGTACCTCTTCCCTTGGGGGAGATTTGGAAGGCAGACATGCTAACCCAGCCAGAGGACCTCTGGATGTTGCCTTCAAATGACATGCCAACAGCTCAAAGGAAGATGGAACTCTGGGTACCACACGGTGACCTCATTGTAACACTGCCTCTGTCTGTATGCCTGGAGTCATCTGGGTCAAGCTGAGCTCTTGCTTCTCATGGTGCTATGAAATGGCAGGGAACACCAAGGGCTATTGTCCCTGGCCAGTCTGTCTGTCAGCATGCTCCCTGAGCTTCCCCAAAACACCTGCCTCCTGCCCAGTGCCAGACATGCATTCCCTGGCTGTTCCTCTTGGTCAGCCTTCTACTCTTAAAAACTAAAATAAAAAAGTATTTAATTGTATTATTATTATTATTATCATTTTTTTGTGTGTGTGTGTGTGTGTGTGTGTGTGTGTGTGTGTATGTGTGTGCATGTATGTGTATGATATAGGTGTATATCTGCCATGGCCTAAATCTGGAGGTCAGAGGGCAACTCTGTAATTTTTTCTCTCCTTTCTCCTGTATGTGGATTCCAGGAATCAGTAATCAAACTCATGTTACAGGCTTGCATGATAAGCACCCTTATCCACTGAGCCATCTTACCAGCCTGCTTCTACTCTTGCCCATCTTGTTCCTCAGCCCCCTCTCCCCAGCCTCTGATGGAAGTATATATTCCAACATTCCTTGATGTTCAGTCCCCATGGCTCACCTGCACCCCACCCAGAACTTGACCTCAGGGAGACACTAGACAGATATTTGACAGAGTGACAGAGTGGGAAAAGCTCCAGGGTGTAGTAAGGTCTCGATGGAAGAGGGTGTCAGGGATTCTCCTGGGTGCTGACAATCATAGTAAGGACTCTGCACTTCCCATCCACAAAAAAAATCCTCTTCTGTGAGGAGCCTTGAGTTCAAGGCCTTAAGCATCAGGATTCAGAATGGACCCTCTTAGGCAGGTCCTAATCCAAGCCTTACAGGAAGAGGGGATTTGGACAGAGGGACCCTAGGAAACAAGGACCACACAGCACACAGAGACCCAACAAGAAGGCACCATCTACAAGCCAGGGAGCCTCAGAAGAAAACCACCTGTCAACCTCTTGGACCTGGAGAGAGCATATTGGGCTGGCTTAGCATGTGGAGGGTGATGTCATGGCAGCTGGGAGATCTGACAGCCTCTTCCTTCCTCTCTGAGCACCCAGGCCGCCTTTGTTTTGTTTTATGAGGCAGGGTTCCTCTATGTAGTGCTAGCTGTTCTGGAATGCACTCTGTAGACCAGGCTGGCCTCAAACTCAGAGATCTGCCTGCTTCTGCCTCCTGAGTGCTGGGTTTAAAGGCATGTGCCACTACTGCCCAGCAGCTGACTTAAAAATTTTTTTTTTCTATGTGTATATATATCTGTGTGAGGGTACCTGGAACTGGAGTTAGAATTGTGAGCAGCCATGTGGATGCTGGGCATTGAACCCAGGACCTCTGGGTTCAACTGCTGAACCATCACTCCAGCTCCTCAAGGATGCCTTGTTGGAGTTTCTTTACCTTCCCATCTCCATGCCTATTCATACACCAATTCGCTTCCATTTAGCAGCTAGATTTGTGATATAATGGGGAAACCATGTTAAGGGGTGGGAAGGGTCTTGTGGGTAAGGATGCCCCAGAGAAAGAGGAGGTCTAGGAGGAAAAAGAAGGGAGGTGGGCAGGCATGAGGAAGCCCCTCACCTGAGAATCTTCCGAAGCCTGGAATCCTGGGACCTAAAATTTATTTTAAGTCTCTTCCAAGGCCTGAATGACTTGCCATCATTGTCCACAAATTTGTCCCAACACTTTTTAAATTCTGAGATAGAAGAGGAGAGAAGGTAGTCAGGGGCCAGCAGGACTCTCCACAGTCCCTCCTGTAGCCCTGATGCCCAGCCCTCACCTGGGAAGTCCATGGCAGCCATGTGGGCTCCTGCCTGATTCAACCTGCGAAGCTTGTCCTGGTAGTCTGGCTTCCAAAAATAGTAGAGGCGGGAGCTGAAGATGGCCAGGCTCAGGTTGCTATGTGTGTCCAGGAACCAGGCCACTTTCTCTGCACACTTATTGCAGGGGCTCCAGGACACATACCAGGTGATGCTGTACCTTTCACCAGGGGGCAACACTTCCAGTACTTGGGTGTGGAACCAGGAGAGGAAGCACACTTCAGCATGGAGGTGACTGCTCTGGGAAAGAAAGGGGAAGGCATGATGAGGTGGAGGGGTGGACTGGGCAGGGACAGGGCTTCTGGCACTTGACTGTTCTTTGTCACTGTCCCTCCCATCCTCCTTCCTTAAGCTTGCATCCCTCGCCATTCTTGCTTTACCTACCAACCCCACATCTGTTCTGCATCTCCCTGGCCTCTCTCAGTAGCACTCTGACCTTGCTGTAGCCAGGTCCACAGGGCACAGCTGGATATCATCTGCCATATGTGCTGGGTTGACATGTCCCCTTAGCTGGCCAAGGGCAGCTCCTGAGTCTCGAAATGTGGCTCATCTGACTAACATTTACAGCATGTGCACAACCTACGTTGTTTTGTTGAATCTAAAATTGTTTATTATTTATTTATTTATCTTTTTTTTTTTTTTTTTTTTTTTTTTTTTTTGAGACAGGGTTTCTCTGTGTAGCCTTGGCTGTCCTGGAACTAGCTCTGTAGATCAGCATGGCCTTGAACTCAGAGATCAGTCTGCCTCTCCCTTCTAGATGCTGGGATTAAAGGCATGTGCCACAACTTATTATTATTATTATTATTGAGACAAGGTTTTACTGTGTAACTATGAATGGCCTGGAACTGATTATGTAGACCAGGCTGACCTTGAACTCACAGATACTCACCTGCCTCTGTCTCCTGACGGCTAGAACTAGAAGTGTGCACTGCCATGCCCAGCCACATTAATCAATCATTCTATATTCAATGGGATGAGCTCCTGCCTGTTCTGAGAAGAGCCTGACCAATCTATTTAGGTTTTGTTTTTGTTCTTGGTGTGTGTGTGTGCTGGACCGTGTACATGTGGAGGCTAGAAATTTACACTGGATGTTTTCTCATTTACTCTCCAGCTTGAGGCAGACTCCCCTACTGTACCTAGGACTCTATGATTCAGCCAGCCCAGAGAGCAGGCTTGCTGTGGAGCTTCCCTGGCTCTGCTTCCTACTGGCTGGGATTATAGCTGCGCTCTATGTGTGCCCAGCTTTCACATGGATGCCTGGGATCTGAACTCTGGTCCTCATGTTTTTGTGGCACCCCTCTGCAGCCTCTTGGTATTCATTTATTTACTATTGATTTGTTGGTTTAGACATGATAGCCCAAGCTGGCCTCAAACTCTACATAACCAAGGATGATCTTGAAGTCCTGGACTTCCTGCCTTCACTTCCTAAGTGCTAGGATTACAAGTATGAGCCTCTATGCCTGGATTTTCTGTGCTCCAAGGATTAAATCCAGGCCTCCATGCATGTTAGGTAAACAGTCTACCAACTGGATTGCACCCCATCCCCAACCCTAATACCTCTTTTCTAAAGACCCCTTGGCAAAGGGGGACAAGCTCATCACATTGTACTCTGTTCACTTCGTAGCACAAGAAGGTATTATTTCGACCATTGGCATAGTGGAGATTCTTAAAGTGGAAGTAGAATGTTCTTTGATATAACATCTTTATCGGGTTTCTGCGGGCACAAAAGAGAAAACAGAAATTGCAGAATGTGCCCTGAGTGACTCCAAGCAGAACAAGGCCCCTGGAGGCCTGAGACACCGCCTTCCCTCAACCTTTGACAAGTACTGTAGTCTTTCCAAGCAGGAAGGTGGGGGAGAGGAGAGCTGCCAGAGAGGTGCCCTCCAACCCATGCCCCAGTGCTGATCCTTCCAGTGGAGCCCTACCTGACAATATGTAAAGCACAAAACTCTGCCATCCATGAGTAATAACTTTTGGCATTTCAACCCAGCTCCTTCCTGATTTGACACCCCTGAAGGGTATGGAGGTTTTAAAAATGAAGGAAATGATATTGGAGTAATGACTCAGTCAGTAACACTTGCACACAAGTCCCCGTTCTCAGAGCAGATATAAAAGCCAATAACCCCAGAGATGGGGTAACGCGGAGACAGGAGGATCCCAGGAGCTCATTGGTTGGCCATCAGGGATCCACAGCTTGTTTCAGTGAAAGACACTAGTTTAAAAAAAAAAAAAAAAAGGTAGGGAAACTGAGGAAGACACTTGACATCAACCTCTGGCTTCCAGATGTGCGCACACATATAGAACTCCTCACACACACAGAAACACTGTCAGAGAAATTTCTGACTTCATATAGACAATCTACTGTCTCAGCATTTCTTGGGTCAGAACTCACTAAGTCCTTCCATGACCCTGCAAGACACGTTCCCATTTAATAGACAGGGAAAGCCCAAGCTTGTAACTATAGCCTTTGGGGAACAGGAACAGGGGAATTATTCCAAGATCCAATCCTGTTTGGTCTATATAGAGAGTGGCAGGCTAGCCAGGGCATCATAGCAAAATCCTTTCTGAAAAAAAAAAATCTTGAAAGCAGCCAAATTACCACCCCCAATGCCACCACCACAAAATCCCAAAACACAGGAGGCAGAGCTCCCTATCACAGAGCAGGGAGGGAAAGAGAAGCTGGTTGGGCAGCTGGTCCAAGATGTTAGGACAGGGAGACCTGTCAGGTTCAGCTGACGATGACATGTTCAAACATACCTGAAAGAGGGAATGAAGATTGAGAAAAGAAAGAGACAGAAGATAGAGTCGGGACACTCAGTGAATACTGCAGGTGCCCCAAGTTTATTACTCACAGTACTTATGTACCCCAGTCTAAAGGGGAGGTCAAAAGACTTCCTTACCATGATACAAGGAACAAACAAACGTAGTTACCTACTTAATACTCAAAACACCTAGTAGCCATGCTCTACGTCAAACATCCTATAATTTGGTCTTAAGGGTCAAGACATCCAGTAGCCACACTTTAAGCCAAACATCCTTTCATTTAATCTTGAGGAGCAAGAATACAGATGTGAACTTTCTAAACTTAAGTCATGGTGGGAGGAGAGCATCAGGCTGGACCCTGTCATAGTCAACAGCCTGTAGAATAAAGGGCTGGAAGACCCAGATTTAATGAGTCTTATCTCTGTCGCTGAGAGGAGAGGTGACATCCCTGCCTGGTTATAAGGCCGCACATGGGCCAAGGCTATTATCAGACAAGTGCCTAACCCTGGCTTCAGGAACTCAGAGTGTGGAAAGAATAATGGCTGGCAAGATTAAAGACATGCTTTTCTGGGATATGCCTTGCTGAGTCCAATTCTGGCAATTGCTCTATACAGGCCTACCCATTACTAGATGGAATAAAGTTGTTTAGGGAAAGGTGAATTTTCTAAACACACACACACACAACAGTATGGGACAGGTAGATGATTAAGCAGGAACATGCAAATTAACAAAATCAGAAATAAAAAGGGGGACATAACAATAGACACTGGAAATCTAGAGAATCACCAGGTCATACTTTGAAAACCTGTACTCCACAAAATTCAAAAATTTAAGGAAATGGACACTTTTCTGAATAGATATCACTTAACAAAATTAAATCAAGAACAGATCAGCAATTTAATGAAATAGAAGCTGTCATCAAAAGTCTCCCAACCAAAAAAAGTTCAGGGCCAGATGGTTTCAGTGCAGAATTCTACCAGAAATAAAAAGAGCCAATACTCCTCAAATTGTTCCACACAATAGAAGCAGAAGGTTCATTGCCAAACTCCTTTTATGAGGCTACAATTACCTTGGTACACAAACCACACAAAGACACAACTAAGATAGAGAACTACAGACCAATCTCCCTCATGAACATTGATGCAAAAACACTGGCAAATCGAATCCAAGAACACATCAGAAAAATCATCCACCATGATTAAGTGGACTTCATCCCAGAGATGCAGGCATGGTTCAACATTTGGAAATCGATCAATGTAATCCATCACACAAACAAACTGAAAAGGATCATCTCACTAGATGCTGAAAAAGCCTTTGACAAAATTCAAACCCCAATCATGATAAGGGTGTTGGAGAGATCAGGGATAACAGGAACATACCTAAACGTAATAAAGGCAATATACAGCAAACCGATACCAACATCAAACTAAATGGAGAGAAACTCAATGCAATTCCTCTAAAATCAGGAACAAGACAAGGCTCTCCACTCTCTCAATATCTCTTCAATATTGTACTTGAAGTTCTTGCTAGAGCAATGAGGCAACAAAAGCAGATCAAGGGGATACAAATTGGAAAAGTAAAACTTTCACTATTTGCAGATCATATGATAGTTTACATAAGTGACTCAAAGAATTCTACCAGGGAGGGGCTGGAGAGATGGCTCTGAGGTTAAGAGCACTGGCTACTCTTTCAGAGATCCTGAGTTCAATTCCCAGCAGCCACATGGCCGTGGCTCACAACCATCTGTAATGTGATCTGGTGCCCTCTTCTGGTGTGCAAGCATATATGCAGGCAGAATATTATATATGTATATAATAAATATATAATAAATAAATAAATCTTTATTAAAAAAAAGAATTCTACCAGGGAACTCACATATAGCTGATAAACACCTTCAGCAAAGTGGGCAGGATACAAGATTAACTAAAAAAAACTCAGTAGCCCTACTATATACAGACAATAAAGGAGCTGAGGAAGAAATCAGAGAAACATCACTCTTTACAATAGCCACAAACAACATAAGATATCTTGGGGTAATGCTTACCAAATAAGTAAAAGACCTACATGATGAGAACTTTGACTCATTAAAGAAAGAAATTAAAGAAGATACCAGGAAATGGAAAGATCTCCCATGCTCTTGGATAGGTAGGATCAATATGTAAAAATGGCAATTTTGCCAAAAGCAATCTACAGATTCAATGCAGTCCCCATCAAAATCCCACAATTCTTCACAAACCTTGAAAGGACAATACTCAACTTTATATGGAAAAACAAAACATCCAGGAGAGCTAAAACAACCCTGTACAACAAGGGAACTTCTAGAGGCATCACCATCCCTGACTTCAAGCTCTATTATAGAGCTATAGAAATGAAAACAGCTTGGTATTGGCACAAAAACAGACAGGTAGATCAATGGAATTGAATTGAAGACCCTGATATTAAACCCACACATCTAGGAACACCTGATTTTTGACAAGCTAAAACTATGTAATGGAAAAAAGAAAGCATCTTCAACAAATGATGCTGGCATAACTAGATATAGACACATAGAAGATTGCAGATAGATTCATATCTATCGCCATGCACAAAACTTATGCTCAAATGGATCAAAGACCTCAACATAAATCCAGCCACACTGAACTTCTAAGAAGAGAAAGTGGGAGATACCCTTGAATGAAATGGCACGGGAGACCGCTTCCTGAACATAACACCAGTAACACAGATACTGAGATCAACAATTAATAAATGGGACCTCCTGAAACTGAGAAGCTTATGTAAGGCAAAAGACACAGTTAACAAGACAAAAACCACAGCCCACAGAACGGGAAAAAATCTTCACCAACCCCACATTTGACAGAGGGCTGATTTCTAAAATATACAAAGAACTCAAGAAGCTAGTCACCAAAATACCAAAAAATTAAATTAAAAATTGGGGTACAGAACTAAACAGAGAATTCTCAATAGAGGAATCTAAAATGGCTGAAAGACACTTAAGAAATTGCTCAAGATCCTTAGCCATCAGGGAAATGCAAATCAAAACAACTCTGAGATACCATCTTACACCTGTCAGAATAGCTAAAATTAAAAACACCAACTAGAGTTTATGCTGGAGAGGGGGTGGAGAACACTCCTCCACTGCTGGTGGCAGTACAAACTCATACAGCCATTTTGGAAATCAATATGGTGGTTCATCTGGAAAATGGGAACTAATCTACCTCAAGATCCAGCAATTCCACTCTTAGGCATATACTCAAAAGATGCACATTCATATAACAAGGACATCTGTTCAACTATGTTCACAGCAGCATTATTTGTAATAGCCAGAACCTGGAAGCAACCTAGATGCCCCTCAACCAAAGAATGGATGGAGACAATGTGGTACATTTACACAATGGAGTACTACTCAGTGGAAAAAAAAAAAACAATGGAATCTGGAAATTCACAGGCAAATGGATGGAACTAGAAGAAACCATCCTGAGTAAGGTAACCCAGTCACAGAAAGACAAACATGGGTATGTACTCATTCATATATGGATATTAGGTACAGAGCAAAGGTTTACCAGAATACAATCCACATCTCCAGAGAAGCTAGGAAACAAGGAGGACCATAAGAGAGACATACAAGTTTCCCCAGTGAAGGGGAAAGGGACAAGAGCCCCTGAACAAATTGGGAGCATGGGAGGAGGAGGGAGGGAGGTAGGAGAAAGAGGAGGGAAGAGGAGGGGGAGGAGAATTTGAGGGATTAGGAAGATTGAATGGGAGATGAATAGAGGAGAGCAAGAAAAGAGACACATCAATAGAGGGAGCCATCATACGTTTAAAGAGAAATCTGTCACTAGGGAATAGTACAGAGATCCAAAGGATGACCCCCAACTAGGAATCTAAGCAATAGTGGAGAGGCTACCTTAAATGCCCTTCCCCTATAATGAGAATGATGACTACCTTAAATGCCATCCTACAGCCCTCCTCCAGTAGCTGATGGAAGCAGAAGCAGAGATGCACAACTAAGCACTGAGCCAAACTCCTGGAATCCAGTTTCAGAGAGGGAGGAATGACGAACAAAGGGGTCAAGACCAGTATGGAGAAACCCACAGCTGACCTGAGCAAGTAGGAACTCATGGACTCCAGTCTGACAGCTGGGGAACCAACCTAGGACCAAACCAGGCCCCCTGAACATGGGTGTCAGCTAGAATGACTGGGCAGTCTATGGGGCCTCTGGCAGTGGAATCAGGATGTATCCCTAGTGCACAAATGGACTTCTGGGGAGCCCATTCCCTATGGAGGGATATTCCCTTAGCCTAGAGACATGGGGCTGGGCCTAGGCTCTACCTCAAATGACTTGACAGATTTTGATGATCTCCCATGGACGGTCTCACCCTCCCTGGGGAGTGGGGATGGGATGGGGGCATGGGAGGATGGAGGGAGAGGGAACTGGGATTGGTATGTAAAATAAGAAAAAAATATTAAATAATAAAAAAAGAAAAAAAAGTACTAACCTTGAGAGCCTACACCCCTCCCATACACACACACAACCCCCCATACTACACACACATACATCACACACACACCACTCACACACACCATACCCAAACACACACCACACATACATACACACAGACACACCACACACACACCACCCATACACACCATACCCATACACACACATACACACAGACATACACAGACACACACAGACACACCACAGACACACATACATCATACACACATCACTTACACACACCATACCCATACACACACCACACATACATACACACAGACACACCACACACACACACCATACCCATACACACACCATACACACACACACATACTACACAGACATACACACAGACATACATACACACAGACACACCACAGACACACATACATCACACACACACCACTCACACATGCCACACATACATACACACAGACACCACAGACATACCACACACACACACCACCCACACACATACATCACACACCACTCACACATACCACACATACATACACACAGACACACCACACACACACCACACACACACACCATACCCATACACACACCATACACACACACATACTACACAGACATACACACAGACACACCACAGACACACATACATCACACACACACCACTCACACATGCCACACATACATACACACAGACACACACAGACACCACAGACATACCACACATACACACCACCCACACACATACATCACACACCACTCACACATACCACACATACATACACACACACACCATACCCATACACACACCATACACACACACATACTACACAGACATACACACAGACACACCACAGACACACATACATCACACACACACACCACTCACACATGCCACACATACATACACACAGACACACACACACACACACACACACACACACGGCTGCTTGGGGTGCAGGAGGCCAGGGGTCACCGGTTGCTGACCACTCTCATTCCTGCCCCACTTTCTTAGCAATACACTGGGCCTCTACCTCCCACTTTGCACATGATCTGTGCAAAGAATTCTTTAATCAAGATCAAAAGTACCAGAGGAGAGGGGCTAGAAATCAGTGACAGGGTCACCTGTGGGAGTAGGGGCTATCATTTGCATATACATACATACATACATACATACATACATACAATGCTCATGCCCCTTGACATTGCTATATGTGTATGTGTGTATATGTGTTGTGTGTTAATATGTGCATACTGGGATGTCTGCAGGTTCAGAGAGGACCTTGGATCCCCTGGAGTTGGAGATGCAGGTGGTTGTGAGCCATACCACGTGTTTGCTGGGAACTGAACTTGGGTCCTCTGTGGAAGGCAACGAATGTTCTTAACTGCTGACCCATGTCTCCAGTGCCAATCCTGTCCCTATTCTTTTTCTCAGTTTTCTGAATGGTGTTGTGTGAGGTCACGGTGACCATCCAGGCAGTGGATGTTTTGGGGGTCTTCTCTTTTCACTCTTTCTTTCCCGGGGGGCTACTTCTGGAAAGGTAATTCACTTCGTCTCAGAGAGCATCTCCTCTTTTCCCAGAATCCCCCGAGGTTGGGTTAGAACAGCATGGATAGCCAAACCATCCATGGAAAGTGTTCCAAACAGGATAGTTCAAAGTCTGCTTCCATGGACTTTTCTTTAAATTCTGACGCCCAGCACAGGACGAGCAGGAAGACCCATAGAGGAGCAGCTGCAGCCTGAGGAGGAGTTTTAACAGGAAGTAACATGGGTAGAGAGGGGTGCAGTGGGCCAGTGTAGAAGCAGCTATGAGGCTACCCCAGTGGCTCAGACCAAGGACCCTGGAGGAGAGTGGGAGCTACAGAGGGTCATGGAGACAGAGAGGAGCCTCAGGCCTGGGGACCTGGAGAAGAGGCTCAGCACATAAAACAATGGGGGCTGCCAGGAAGAGACTGCAGAGGAAATCTTGGAGTAACCGGGTCAACCATACCTGATCGGTGAATAGGGTTTGCGATGGCAGCATCCCATGCAGGCTGAATCCATTCCAGTTCTCGGCCCCTCGGTCTGGGGTTGCATTTCCTGTGTACAGGCACTGGTTTTGGGAGACCCCAGAAGTGCGAGTGAACTCCTGGGCCATGTGAATAAAGGCCCCACCCTCTTCCTGCTTCAGCTCCCGGAATGGGAGGGCTCTGGGCGATTGAGCCCAGCAGGCTCCTTCCCACCTTCCCTCCTACCCTCTGTCCGCTGGCATGGCAGAGATCTGCTTCTCACAGCAGCCCGAGGGGATCACAAAGAGAAAGAGAAAGTAACTGATGGCAGAGGGAGGCAAGTGCCAAGCTCTTTGAGGGGCAGAACAGACACCTCTAGGGTAGCCCCAGGCTTCTCCATCCAACCGACTCAACCCAGGCTGTGCCAGAGTGCTTGGAGCGGTAGCTGCCAGCTGAACCAAGGGTGTGAAGGAGGCGTGAATTCTGGGTGGGACTTCTGGGTTCTTTCCTCTCGATTCAGGACGGGAGGGGACAGTCAAAGCTTTGGGTTTTTGATTGTGCGCTTAGATTTTGGCGCCCTTCATCTCTAATTTCCCAGGTGTAGAGCGAGCCTGGAATCGACGGGGACACAAGCTCAGATGGGTCATTGATGGCTCAGGGTCAGACAGCTGCAGGTGGATGGACTGGCATTAGAGCCCGTGATTCAAGCTCGTTTCCTATTTGTCCCTGCAGATGAGGAAGACTGATGCTCAAAGATGAACGAGCTTGCTGTTCTCACAGACCTGGCTCTCAGGGGTGGCAGTGTGGACCAAGAAAATGAAGCACGTGAACGCTTCTGGTTATTAAGGTTCATTCAGAGTTCTTTGGAGGACATGGGGTCAGATAATCGACCATGGATACATGTCTGTGCAGGTGAATCGGTGCTCGCCACAGAGGCTCTGGGCTTAGTAGCCAGCTGTCCTGAAATGAGAAAGTATCACAGCGCCCCCACCTGGAGGATGTCTGTCCTACCTTTGTGCAAAGCAGACTGACTAGTTGAACTTGCCATGGAAAACAATGGACACAATATAACAGCATTAATGGGAATTAATACTTCAATCAGAAGTAGACACATTTAAAAAGAAAATATAGCAAAAGTGGAGTCAGAAAATGTACCAAGCCCAGGTTCCCAGGAGTCAGAAGACACGGTAGTAAAAACTCCAGCTCATTACTTTAATCCCAGCACTTGGGAGGCAGAAGCAGGTGGATCTTGTAAGTTCCAGGACAGCCAAGGATACATAGAGAAATCTTGTCTTTAAACAAATAAACAAACAAACAAACAAAGCAAAACAAAACAACCTCATAATATCACTTTAAATTCATTGGTTAAAGTAAAAATGAGTGATATAAACAGATGCTGGGAAGGATGTGGAGAAAATGGACCACTCAGACATTGGCAAGGAGAATACAAGATGGTAAAACTATTGTAGGAGAATGTAGTAATTTCTTAGGCTAAACACACAGGCACTAGGAAGAGGCTCAGTCAAACAGTCCCAGTCCTTCACTAGAAGCCCCCAAGAATAGGGAAAGGACATACACTGAGCCCCTTGTGCAACTAAGCAGTTTCCAGTTTTCCCAATAGATTGTAACTCCAAGGACATCTCTGGAGTCATTGTATATCTTATCAAAAGACAGAGAGGGACAGGCCACAGAGATGGCTCAGTGGTTAAGAGCACTGGTTATTCTTACAGAGAACCCAGGTTCAGTTCTTAGCATTTACATGCCAGCTTTCAACCATCAGTAACTCCAGTTCCCAGGAATCTGATGTTCCATTTTGGAGCTTGTACCAGATACACACACATACACATACCATACAAATAAATACAATAAAGAAATGCAGTGTGAGTGGTAATATTATTTCTTTGGTTCTGTCCTTGTTTTTGGGTGCCCATTAAGTTCCTTACAAAAAACACATTTTATCTTGCCAGGAGCTCTATAAAGTAGTTGGGTTGTTTTATGTCTTTCTTTTTTTTTTTTTTTTGCAGGGACTGGTGTTCGAAACAGGGTTTCTCTGTGTAGCTTTACCTGATCTGGAACTCGAGCAGTAGACCAGGCTGACCTCAAATTCATAGAAATCCGCCTGCGTCTGCCTCTCTAGTGCTGAGATTAAAGATGTGTGCCACCACTGCCCAGCTTGTTTTGCTTTATGAGACACTTTCTTACTAGATAAACTACGCTGAACTTGAACTCGAGAGTCCCCAGAAAGCCTCCGAGCACTGTGATCACAGGCATGTGATGTTATGCCCCAGACGACTGACCCCCAACCACGATCACCACAGAGCCAGGTACCAGTGCAAACACAGGGGTTTATTGTAAGAGAACTTGAGTTCAGGCCGCCCAGCAGCACTCTTATGCAGCAAGTGAGAGGGTGGCCCAAACCAGCAGCAGAGAGGACTTATAAAGATAAAGAAACACAAGTTTAGGAAGGCACATGCCTTGGCATTATCTGATTGGAGTAAGGGGGGGGTGACTCTTTGTCCTATTGGCCCTGGGATATCTGGTGAGCATGATATGTGGTCTGTTAGTCCCATAACTGGCTGTCTCAGAGGGATGAAGGGCTCTGAAGCAACTTTGTTTTCCTTGGAACTGGGTTCAGGGTCCAGTCAGGGGTTTCTCAAGATAGTGTCTAGTCTAAAATGGCATTAGTTTTGCCTGGTCCCACACTGTGCCCAGCTGCATTGTGGCTAGTTACAGTGAAAGGTGTGTTCGGGCTTCTCTGCCATCTCTAGGTTTGCATTAAATATGTTAATAATCTGCATAAACAGATCCACTCCTTGACTCTTTCCATCCTGTAAACTGAAAAGCCAAGAGTCTTGCTCTCTGCCCCCTCCCATACCAGCTCTCTCCCTTCCTTCTCTGGGATCTGCACTTGTCAACTGGAATTGTTAATCCCACTGGCAAGAATAAGACCACTACCTCAATTTGACCCTCACTTGATTTTTATTGGGGTGCACCCAAGAGCTGGCCAGCGACTACCTCCTAAGTTGGGTTAAAGAAAGCAGCCCCGAATCCATATCCCCCCCCCCCTATATTTGTTTTTCAAGACAGGGTTTCAGTGTATTACTTTGGAGCCTGTCCTGGAACTGGCTCTGTAGACCAGGCTGGCCTTGAACTCACAGAGATCCTCCTGCCTCTGCCTCCCGAGTACTGGAATCGAAGGCGTGCACCACCACCAACACCCTGCTCTTGGCCCGTTTTAAGGAGTAAAATCATGAGTAGTTGCATAGCAGGTGTACAGAAGAGAGACAATGGAAAGGTAAGGAAATACAGAAAAAAAATTTCCAGAAAACATCATGTGTTTTGGGTCTGGGAATCATGAAATATTGAAGACCACAAAAGTTAGATGAGCAGAAGTAACTTTATTCAGTCAGCACCGGCTACCAGAACTTTTAACTAGTTAGGGCCACAGGCAGGTAGGGATCTGGTTCTGTGACCCCAAACAGAGTAGGTCCTTTTTAAAGCAAAAGACATAAGTAGGAAGGTGATATAAGAAAAATAATCTTTACAAATTGAGCTTGCATCCTGGATGATGGTTGATTCTGGGAATTTACAACTTGTGATAACACTTTTTTTTACAATTAGTACAATTTGTGATAGCAAGGTGTTTGTTCAAGCTTAAGAAGGGGTTTGCTTACACAAGTCTGTCGTTATCTTAACACAGCTCTTGACACAGCTGGGGTCTTGTCTTAATTTTTTAACCAACTGTTCTCCCTGTGACTGAGACTACAGGGCAAGGGTCCAAGCAATAGAAGCTGGGTAGGTGGGCTAATGTTCAGACTTACTCTGGACCCTTCAGTGTAGTCACCATGTGATTAGGAGGGGCAGGGAGGGTAAGGGTTTTCTCACAAACAAGTCAAGGTCATGGGTTGGGAAAGGTCAAGTTCCTGGAAACAGAGCAACTCAACTCTCACAGTAAATAGGAACTTATCTTTAACAATGCAGCATAATGGCTCCTGCCTTCAAAATGGAGCCAGGCAAGTTCCTTGGAATCACACCCCACTTGTCTTTCTGTATATCTTGGGGTTTCTATTGCTGTGATGAAACACCATGATCAAAGCAACTTGGGGAAGAAGGGGTTCACTGGCTTATCACTCACTATTCATCACTGAGGGAAGTCAGGGCAGAAACTCAAACAGGGCAGGATCCTGGAGGCAGGAGCTGATGCAGAGACCATGGAGGGATGTTTTTTACTGGCTTGCTCCCCATAATTTGCTCAGCATGCTTTCTCATAGAACCCAGGACTACCAGCCCAGAGATGGCACCACCCACTATGGTCTGGGCCCTTCCTCACCAGTCATTAATTTTAAAAATGCCCAATGGGCTGGAGAGAAGGCTCAGGGGTTAAGGGCACTGGCTGCTCTTTCAGAGGACCCACATGGAAGCTCACAACTGACTGTACTTCCAGTTCCAGGGAATCTGGCACCCTCACACAGACAGACAGACATGCAGGCAAAACACCATTGCATGTTAAATAAAAATAAATAAGTTATTTTTAAAAAGAAAATGACCTACATCTGATCTTACAGAGGCATTCTCAGGTAACTCTAACTTATATTAAGTTGGAAAAACTTGCTAGCATTCTGTGACTAACTTACTTCAATATCCTCAGAGTCAATCCACACTGGAGGAAGTCTATAATTTCCCATTGTCTCTTCCTCCCTCCCTCTCTTCCTCCTTCCCTCTCTCCCTCCCTCCTCCTTCCTTCCCTCCCTTCCTCCCTCCCTTTTTTTAAGGTTTATTTTTATTATCTGTGCTTAAGTGTATGCATATATTCGTGTGTGGATATGAATGCATGAAGACAAGAGAGGTTGGGTCCTCCTGAGACGTAGCTATAGGCAGTAGTAAGCTGCCTCCCATGGGTGGGTGAACTTGGGTTCTCTGCCAAGAGTAGTATGTTTGTTTGTTTTTATGTATACAGTGTTGTGCCTGCAGGCATACATGGAAAGGGCACCAGATCTCATTACAGATGGTTGTGAGCCACCATGTAGTTGCTGGGAATTTAACTCAGGACCTCTGGAAGAGTGCTCTTAACCTCTGAGCCATCTCTTCAGCCCATTGATTTGTGATCTTAACCACTGAGCAATCTCTCCAGCCCCCAGAACATTCTTGCTTTTATCCAGACTAGCACTCAGCTCCCATGAGCCATTTGTATGTTAAAGACAAAACTGTAGGAGACACTGCTTCTGCCTCTGGAATGCTGTGCTTAAAGGCTTGTGGCATCAGACCCAGATTGTTTTTTCTTCCCTAAG